TGTTCAGCATTCAAACAACAATGACAAGTAATGTTGAATTCTGCTTTAAAAATATGCAATAATTTCAAAAATCGAAATAAAGAAAACGGATTTATTTGGCTTTTTTCTTGTGAACATGAAAAAATATGCAACACTGGCTTTATCTTGTTATAAATGTTTCACAAGAAGAAAACGACTGCAATAATTAAATCCATTTTATCATAAGCATTACCATTATTATTTTTTTTCTTGTTTTTGCTGTTATACTTATGTCTATTTGTAACCATAATATGTAACATGCCTTTTATGGGCCGATAGTTGGTTTAATAAAGTATTTGTATTCATTTTCATACAGCTATAATATATACAATGAATTATTTAATTATTTACAACAAGAAAGAGGGACATTGGGTTACACATTTACAAAATTTTACCCCACATCACATTTGAGTTACTCCTTGAAAAGATTCAAATAAAAACAAATTATCACTTAAAATAATAAATTTCATCATTTCAATTTTTAAGGAGCAAAATTCTGCACAATATAAACTTAAAAAACAAGAAGATGCAATAAACATCAATGAGACAGTAATCCAGTCACAAAAACACCACATTTATCTGAGGTCAGAATACTGTGGCAAACAATAGACAAAGTTTCTTAACAATAAATTAGGGGAGATTAGTATTTTACTTATTGATATTACCCTCTTTAAATAAAGTATTTATTTATAATATTATTATTATTATAATTACTCGAGACTGTCTTTTTATGAGAACTTGAATTTTTACTATGTGTGAAATTTCTAATAATATTATGGCTTTTCTTTCTCAAAGAACAGCAGTTATAATCAACAATCAATTATTGTGATATTCCAATTTTCACATATCAAAATCTTAAATGAAAATTCTATGCAGTGTTAATCAAACAGTTTAAACCATGTCAAAACTACCACAGCCTCATAAAATCATTTGTTTAAAAAAAAAAACAGGGTGTAGCATCTATATTCAAAATTTTACATGAAAAATGGGGAAAAAAACAACAAACCAGAGCAATAACCACATTAAAATCCCCGATTATATCTTTGGAAACACCTTATATCAGAAAATTCTCTATAAATAAATATAAGTAGGTGCATGTGTGACTATAAATGAGATGACTTCCCAACAAGAAATATTAGGAAAGAAAACATCTATATATCATGTATATCATCTTAGTCAATGTACTAATTTCACAAAAATGAAATTTCATGCAGCAATTTTCAGTAATCAAATTCATTAACATTTTTGCATTCCAATATTATCAGCATTCTATGAATGAAACTGTTTTAATTCATTATATGTAAAGTGGATATATTTCGTCAGCTTTGCAGGGTTTTTTCTTTCTTTTTTTTTAATTGGGGGGAGAGGGTGCAATTTATCATTTTCAAGACTGCAAATTTTACTTTTTGAAAACTAAACTTATCTGAATGTGGATCTGTTTGATTTCAAAATTGTTCGCTTTAGGCCTGCCAGTATTCATGTTTTTTTATTATCCATTTAAACTCATTTCACAATGTTTAAATGTTTTACAGAGAGCAAAGAGGCTCAGAAAACTGAGACAATATTCCTGTAAGTTTCATTCTACATTTTCAAATATGATGTTAATATGCTTGCCATCTTTTCTATTTTCTATATTTACAAACTTTTTCAACATTCTAATTCATAAAACTTTTTATAATAGTGTTTAGTCATATAAACAAAAGATAAAAACAAACTGTTTTGAAACATATTGATACACAAAACTTTCCAGCTTACTTAATTTTGTCATGAATTGAAACTACCAGCTTTTAATTCCACAGAAACACTTAAAGTATTAAAATAAGAAAAAAAAGTAAATGAACCTTCTTGTAAGGGCATATAAACTTCATATTAAATGAACCAGTTTCGACACAAAGAAACATGAGTATAAATATTTGGAATTTTAGCAAAATTAATATGTTTAAAACAAAAAAAATATAAATGAAATTAAAGTTCCTCAAACAACTTATTGCAAGAATTATAAATTAAAACTTAAGAAATAAATTTAATGTCTTTCACTATTCAGTTGAATTAATATAAAAAAAAATTTTTTTAGATATTATTTTTTGACCTAAGAGGTCAATCTTTAATTTTCCTGAAAATGAGGTTTCTGGAATTATGGTTTTATAACATAGAGGTATAATTCTCATTTGTAATATTAGTTTATTTAAAATGAATATTTTGTTTCTCAGAGCAAATCCACTCAGTCTTATTTTTTTAAATTTGAACCAGCAAGTCATAAAAATAACGACAGCTTATAGTCATTATCTAAGTAAGAACTGTTATCTTTATATAAGCAACAGTACAAAATCAAAATATCAAGTTCTTCAATATGAGAAACAAAATATTTCTTTTCAATCACCTCATGTCATATTACTATAGTTTAAAAACTTTGAAACAAACTTACCCTTATTATGGAAATCTGATCTTTTCTTCTTTTAAAACATATATCTGTCTTGCATCATCATACACAAGTCTTTGAATGATAATAATTAGTAAATCTGTAAACTATATAAAACATTTTTGAAACCCTGTCTGTAATACACAGGAACAGAATGACATCCCTTAAAACAACAAAAAAATTGAAAATTCTAATTAACTCTGAAATATCCAGGTACACAACAGACAGAAACAAAAACACAATAAACAAATATGACCATTTGTGACAAAAAAATCTACCTGTCAGGGGGTAAGACTCAATATATGTTTATTAGATAGGTTGGGGTTGGGTTTCATTTTCACACCTTGACATCAAAATGTCACCTTAAATATCAAAGAAAGAAAATCAAAATTTTAAAAGAATTGATTAAATTTTTAACATTTAATTATTTACAAAATTTAAAGCACAAAAAACAACTACATTCATTTATGATGTAATATGATAATTGTAACATTAATTTACATACCAAATATCAATTCCCCCCAAAAAATTGGAAACAAAAATTTTAAAACAAATAAAATCCATATTCAATTTCCATATTTTTGCACATTACACAAAGTATGGGTATTCAGAAAGTAAAAAAAAAATAGACTAGAATAAAAATAAAAAAGTTTTTTTTTTAAATTCAAATTTAAATGTTTTGATTTTTTTTTATTAAAGATTTTCATCACAAATTCAGTATAATTGTTTTAATAGCATTTCATTTCTTATCTCTATATATAAAAAACTATATAATCACTTTCATTTGTGAAAAAAAAAGAAAAATAATATTGTAAATCTTTATTTTTTTATCAATAATTTAGTTTCTTCTAATGTGTTACAGTGATATATCATATTTAGATAGTAGACATGTAACAGGAAAAGTAAAAAGTCAAATGAAGCCAGCTAATTAGTGCTAAAACTTATCTTGTACTGCTGTAAAAACTTGACACATAAATGAACCAATTTTTGTTTGTTCAACAAAATCATGGAAGTTTATTCATTTGCAAAAATCAGCCTAATAAAACAAACTGTTGACTATATATAGTCAACCCTAGACAGGATTCAAAAGTTTGAGTTTATCTAAAGAAGGTGAATGGTTACACTTATTATTCATAAAATTTTTGCTATTACTTTAACCAAAAATGAAAATTATATCAGATATCCTTTCTTTTCTTTGACTTTATATTTCCTACCAGATATGATATTTTTTCCCTACAAGAACCAAATTTGTATTTTAAGTTACCAAAATTTTAAAGATAAACTTAAATTATCTCCCCTGTTTTACATGAAACGCCTCAAGGTTTGGATGCTTTATTAGAATGTAGGACAGAAAGTCACAGGACAAAAAGTCACAGACAAAAAGTCAAGGACAAAAAGTCACAATTCAGTTTTGAGATTATTTTTCTTTAAACAAGAAAACACTAATTTAAAAAATTATTTTTTGTTTTTTCTTGAACTTTTATATACGAAGCAACTTTGTAATTAACATTTATTCAATAAATATCAATAATGATCAAATAAATGTTATATAAACAAAATGTCAACGTGGCTTGGTACTTAAATGGCTTCATTGTGCCAAGAAATATATCCTTTGCATGATTAAAATTTAATAAATTTTCATTTATCAAGGCTTATGAACAATTTCCTAAACTTAAAAATGAATATATGTAATAAAAAGAAAATATTTCAAGATCTTTCTCTTATATATTCAAACAATTGTCAACAAATTATTTGTGACTTTTTGTCCTGTGACTTTTTGTCCTATCAAATTTGTGACTTTATGTCCTGTAACTTTCTGTCCTTTTACCCTTTATTAGGCCCTTGATGGAAAATAATGGTGTAGCTGGTTGTTTCTTCAGAGCTTATAGCACATCTAAAACCTTTAATCTGTAAACCAGGGGGAGATAATTCCTGATTATCTGAAATTTTGTTAACTTAGAACTAAAGACAAACAATATTTTCTTCATGTTTCATAACCTAAGCCTGTTTTTTGTCTAAAATGGAAGTGGCGGCATTTGTGTTCAGTATTAATATTTAAATACATAACATATATAAAGGTTGAGACCGAACACAAATGCGGCCACTTCCATTTAAGACAAAAACCATCTAAAAAGTGACGTTTTATGGCATATTTGATAGATTTTTCATATTTAAGATTGAATTTGAGTGTCTTTAATGACCAAAATCAGTTCAAATCTTTTACATAAACTAATTGAATCGACTGAAGTAGACACTTGAGTGTCTAAAAAATGTCAAAAATCTTTCATCAGATGTACTTTGAATTTCAGGCCAAAACTAGCCCTTACTAGACTTTCTACTTTACTTGTTTTCTATATCGACTGTGCTCTGACGTCCCATATCCCTAGCAAGTCCCCAAAAGGCCATCAGATATCAGAGCAATCTTAGACTAGGGACCAGGAGAAATATAAGAAAGTTATAAACAAAAAAGTACTGGTTCTTTAATACATTCTTTTTTGTCTCGTGTAATTCTGTACATCCTACCATCAACAATCCACTAACATTAAATAGTTGTAATGCTTACAGCTATACCAATTAGATAGGTATCTCCTACAGATATCTGTATCCTTAATCCAAACAGACCATTCATCCCTCGTAACTGAAAAACAAACCAATAAAATTTTAGTAACATGCTTTATCAAACAGAACAAAAAAATAAAAAATAAAAAATACTCTTCATTACCTAGCTAATGGCAGACAAAATTGTGGCTTTTAATATCATGTGAATATAGACAAAAAGTCACAGACAATAACTCAATGACATATATACTTCTGAAATTAAACAGAAGACTTGTTTTCTAAATAACTTTTGTACTTTTCTTGAACTGTTATTGACTGGCTTCATGGTGCCCAAAAAAGACAATCATTAGTATGATTAAAATTTGATAAATCTTCAAGTTATAAAGAAGATGAATTATTTTCTTATTTATTTATGTTATTAAAATTATTTCAAGACATTCATAACATCTACTCAAACAATTACAAATTATTATCATTAACTGTGACTTTTTGTTCTATCCATTTTGTGACTTTTGGTTTGTTTATGTGTATTCTTTTCATGTATATTTTGTTTATTTAACCAGTGTTTCTTAATGATAACTATGTTTGAAGTATATATTTAGTGTGCCATCAACACTAGTTATATGCCAACAATCAGACCATAATCCAACTTTATTCCTTCATTTTATACTTTTACCATTTGTCCTCTGAACTCATCTTATGTCCTATTTTCTAGAAATTTCGGTCATTGCTATGTACAAAATTTCATGATTTGCTTCAAAGATCCATACTGTTTTAATTTTTCTTTTTTCACATGTGATCTGCTAAACACTATACAGTGTTAATTTAACAGAGTTCCATATTGGCAGAGATAATTGAGTATAGCAAAAATGGTCAAAATAATACTACTGCCACAATATTTCCCTTTTTTTTTTACTTCTTTCTGTTACATCCAACTTTCATTGTTAAGATCATACCTTTAATTTGTTCATCAACTGGTTATGTAGTTCATATTCTAAAAATGGCAGACTCTATAAAATAAAAAGAAAGAAATGCAATTATTATTTGGTTTGTGTTGATCTGACGATTCAAGCCCTTTTCAACTGATATTTACTGTTTGTTTTTTTATATGAAGTGCTGTTACACAAATTAACAAAAGAATGGGAAGGAACGAGCGCTCACAAACATGTTTAACCTCACTAATTCTATATGACCCAAGTCAGGAGCCTGTGGTTAATTTGTTGTTGTTTTTTCTGTATATCATATTTATTTTGAACATTAAACAAGCTGTTGGTTTTCTTGTTTCAATTGCTTTACATTTACCCATGTCAGGGCCTTATATAGTTTACATTGTGGTTTACTCATTGTTGAAGGACATAGTGACCTATAGTTGCTTACATCTACAATACAGTTTCATACATTAACACTAATAGCTTGGTCCTAAAATTTTCTGTAAATATCCTGACAGAGTGAGTATATAGAAAGAAGACTCACATCACTGACTTCTTTAGCACTGAGTTCACCTTTGGCTTTAAGCTTGGCTTTACATACTCTGTAAAATAACAAAACAAACAGGTGAATCATATATAGCTTTCTTCCTTCCTGGGTTCCAATTTTCACAGAATATTAAATGGAAAGCATACTTTATTTCCATTGATATGTATTTATACATGAATCAATTTTCTTCACACTACCAAAACAAAGATCCATAAATTTATATTTTTTCAGTAAGCAACTTAATGCTTTTTGGTAGAGTTCATGTTGCTTTGTTTTTTTAAGTAATATTTCTATAATTCAAGAAGAACGTTTTCCGTAACGTCACAACTGCCTTTATTGTGATGCCATGAATTGGAAGCTAAGATCTTTATTCAACAGTTCAAATTTTAGTCGCTGGCTTGTATAAGTGACCCTTTCAAACTGTATTTCTGTTATATGGACTATGGTATTTACCTGGCTTGTATAAGTGACCCTTTTAAACTGTATTTCTGTTATATGGACTATGGTATTTACCTGGCTTGTATAAGTGACCCTTTTCCATGGGTCTGTATTTCTGTTGGTAGATCTATAGTTGTAAAAAGAACATCTGGAACTTTCTTCTTTCTACAAATACGTATACCACATATTTTAAAAAAGTATATCAATATATAAGCATATTTTTTCTGTTGTTTTGTATTCGTACAAGTCATTTTTTGGATACTGCATTTAAAATGCTTGTGTGTTTAGATTATTTAAACAGAAGACAAAGTAAAACTATCTATACTAAACAGTTTTACTATTAAGACTTAATTCATAATATTTTTTTTTAATAATATAAATAATATTGTTGTTTTCATAGGTCTTAGGAAACCACATATCAAACTAGAATTAGGTGATCACAGACATCCCTACCATAGGTTAAGGATTACTACTGAGCCAGAATCTTTAAATTAATTTATACTAATAAGTTTATAATATACAAATAAGTGTATAATGTTCCAATCCCAGGGCTCACACTACTTCAAAATCATAGGGAGAAGTGACTTCTCTTTTTGAAACTGGTAGGGAGAAGTGGTGAGAATTGAAAGAGAAGTGCCCGTTCGATCACGGCACTTATACAACTGCATACTAGTGGTTCCCCTTGAACTGACCTAATCACAAACTAATACATGTAAACTAAGCAAAAGTTTTAAAGTCAATAGACCATGACTGAGGGGGCGGAGCCAATTAATCTCCATGGAAATGAGATATGCCAATGATTATACAACTGCATGCCAAATATCATTGACTTACCACTAGTGGTTCCCCATAAACTGACCTAATCACAAACTAATACATGTAAACTAAGCAAAAGTTTCAAAGTCAATAGACCATGACTGAGGGGGCAGGGCCAAATAATCTCCATGGCAATGAGATGTGCCAGTGCTTACACAACTGCATACCAAATGTCATTGACCAACCACTAGTGGTTCACCTTAAACTAGACCTAATCACAAACTAATACATTGTTGACGCCGCCGACGCCTACATCGGAAACAACATACCTATGTCTCGCGTCTTGACTCCGTCAAGGTGAGACAAAAATGTGAGGAACAGAGGGATGGACACGAGAATCGCTACATACAACTCCCCCTTTTTCCATACCAGGCAAGGGTTTTAAAATAAATGTATGACTTTATATTTAATGAAACTATTACCTGCAGATGGCACAAGATGACAGGTTGACAGGAAATGGTAAGGATGTAGATATATAGGGTATATGACATAAACTACACTGGAATATTGGTGATCCTTCGTCTCCTCTGCAAATAGGCACAAATATATATATATATGTATAATTATGTCAGTTGCTACTATACATGAAATCAAATCAAATAATAGTTTGGGTCCTAGACTTTAGATTTTAATTTTAACTGTTTCAATGGAAACATATGTGTTTACTATTTTTTATCATAATTTTTCTATATATAGTAAACAGCATAGTGAGAATAACATACATCTCCAGACAAAGCAGACTTAAACTTTATACATTTACCTATTTACAAACATTAATCTTAACATGAGTTTTTGTCTGCATATTCTAAAAGTCACTTGCTTCAGCTAAACATTCCAAACAACCATACTTAATTTGGTCTTGAATTGTCCACATTTTTTTTCTCATAAATAAATATTGGAAGGCAGAGGTGCAGATTATAGAGTACTATAAGTGAAAATGAGATAAAAACTCGATTTGCTATGTTGGTTTACATTCCACCATGATAGTTATTAAAATTATATATATATATTTCTTTTCAAAACTCTTCCAACTTCTACTTGATGATGGAAAGCATGTTTTTCCATGAAAATACAACAAATGATCACACTAGATTTGAAATTACCAGAGTATAACCAGATTTTTCAACAAGTGACAATTTTTTTTTTCTTTCTGCATTCACCTGAGAAAAAGGGTATGCGGATTATACAAGGCTGATTATAGTACATAACATGATTGTTAATTTCTGAATACTAACTCTACAATGATTATTTTTCAATCTGATTAAAGTGCAGGTCCTGTGTCTAAGCTTTGCTTACAAGGATCTGACAACACTCCATTTTACTTTTTGTTCTTATAATTATTACATCAGCCAGTGAAAGGAGAAGGTCCGGTAAGGGCTTATTTCGGCCCAAAATTAGAAGTACATCTGATGAAAAGTTTTTGACATTTTTTAAACACCCAAGTGTCTACTTCAGTCGATCCAATTAGTTTATGTTAAAAATTTTAACTGATTTGGTCATTCAAGACGCTCAAATTCAAGCTTAAATATGAAAAATCATATATGCCATAAAACGCAAATTTTCAGATGGTTTTTGTCTAAAATGAAAGTGGACGCATTCAACTCAGTCTCAACATTTATATATGTTATTTAGACTGAATGCAAGTGCTGCCACTTCCACTTTAATCAAAAACCGTCTTAAAATTAGCACAAATGCTGAAATTGTGAAGATTTCAGTATTTTTGCATGAAATAATGATGCTAGTACCTGATGCATGTCCATTGTAATGTCAAAAACAGCCTATATTTATGTAACAAAAGTATTCTACTTTCCAATAAATAGCTAAAAGTGGCATTTTTAACTACATTGTTAAAACACTATATTTTGGGGCCAAAAAGGGATCTTACCTGGCCTACTCCTTTCAGCCTTCAAATTTTTGAAGGAGTGTATTAATCAGACAAAACCAGAGGATCCCGAAAGTTTTTAAAGACAGAAAGTCTCCTCGTTAGCACAGCTTGGACACATGATCTGTATTTAAAACAGATTAATTATTTATGGGATAATTTATTTTTGGGATAACTCTCAAACACAAAAATATCTATTTCTTTTGGTCAATCTGTAGATATTATTTGTTGATTATCAATTTTCATGGAATAATAGATTATCAACTGATGATAAACCATAGAATTATATATCAATGAGAAAAAAAAGTTTATCAAACCATTTAAAACTGGTACCCAATGAATTAAATAAATCCATAATTAAACAGGTAAAATTTCAGACTTACTGTTCATATGATAGTCTATTCTGAGACATTTGATTCGCCAGGTTAACATCTACAAACAGTCTCTTGTCCCTATCTTTATCTAGCTGTAACCTGTCCATATTGGGAACCAGTGGCTGTGTAGAAGATTTGACTGACGGGACAGGGTCAGAGGTCACTTGTACTCTGGCAGCTGTTCCTGATGCTGACAAAACTATAATTTCATCACTGAAATTAGAATACAGAGCACAAATGTTGATAGTTTCAAAGACTTAGTTTTTCTTATTTCATTCTCTGTAATACATTTTTGATACAAGTAACTAAAGCAATAAATATTTTAGACTAGAGGCTGTCAGACTGACAGCAAACCGGATTTACCAGCATGAAAATGATATTTGCAAATCTGGACCCCCAAACAGGATTATGTAATAAAAAATAAATGAATTTTTGTAGGGTTCAGAAATGGAAAGGCCAAAATCAATCTAAGTATCACTTTTCGCTACTTAAAGGTCAAAAACTCATCAACGATAAAAGTTAAAATCGTGAAAAATCGAAATTGACCATCATTTAGTCACAGGAAACAACATATCTAAACTAAAAAAGATTAGGTCAAAGGGTTAATAAGGAATAATACTTTGCTGGAGTCAATGTTCACACAGTTATGTTCCTAACTCTGCCATTATGGTGGTCTAAAAGTGATACATATCTCAACCTTAAATATTATCCATAATCAATCTGTCAGTAAAATGCCTATCTTGTACCACACTTGAGTGTGTAGTAATTTCATTGATGCTGTACTACTTTCACATGAAACCAGATACTACATTGTAGTTCTGAGTGATAGGTTTTTAGTAGTCAACAATTCATTACATTTTAGTTCTGGGTGATAGGTTTTTAGTAGTCAACAAGTCTTTACATTGTAGTTCTGGGTGATAGGTTTTTAGTAGTCAACAAGTCTTTACATTGTAGTTCTGGGTGATAGGTTTTTAGTAGTCAACAAGTCTTTACATTGTAGTTCTGAGTGATAGGTTTTTAGTAGTCAACAAGTCATTACATTGTAGTTCTGAGTGATAGGTTTTTAGTAGTCAACAATTCATTACATTTTAGTTCTGGGTGATAGGTTTTTAGTAGTCAACAAGTCTTTACATTGTAGTTCTGGGTGATAGGTTTTTAGTAGTCAACAAGTCTTTACATTGTAGTTCTGGGTGATAGGTTTTTAGTAGTCAACAAGTCTTTACATTGTAGTTCTGAGTGATAGGTTTTTAGTAGTCAACAAGTCTTTACATTGTAGTTCTGGGTGAAAGGTTTTTAGTAGTCAACAAGTCTTTACATTGTAGTTCTGGGTGATAGGTTTTTAGTAGTCAACAAGTCTTTACATTGTAGTTCTGAGTGATAGGTTTTTAGTAGTCAACAAGTCTTTACATTGTAGTTCTGAGTGATAGGTTTTTAGTAGTCAACAAGTCTTTACATTGTAGTTCTGGGTGATAGGTTTTTAGTAGTCAACAAGTCTTTACATTGTAGTTCTGAGTGATAGGTTTTAGTAGTCAACAAGTCTTTACATTGTAGTTCTGAGTGATAGGTTTTTAGTAGTCAACAAGTCTTTACATTGTAGTTCTGAGTGATAGGTTTGTAGTAGTCAACAAGTCTTTACATTGTAGTTCTGAGTGATAGGTTTTTAGTAGTCAACAAGTCTTTACATTGTAGTTCTGGGTGATAGGTTTTGGGTGATAGGTTTTAAGTAGTCAACAAGTCTTTACATTGTAGTTCTGAGTGATAGGTTTTTAGTAGTCAACAAGTCTTTACATTGTAGTTCTGGGTGATAGGTTTTTAGTAGTCAACAAGTCTTTACATTGTAGTTCTGAGTGATAGGTTTTAGTAGTCAACAAGTCTTTACATTGTAGTTCTGGGTGATAGGTTTTTAGTAGTCAACAAGTCTTTACATTGTAGGTCTGGGTGATAGGTTTTAGTAGTCAACAAGTCTTTACATTGTAGTTCTGGGTGATAGGTTTTTAGTAGTCAACAAGTCTTTACATTGTAGTTCTGAGTGATAGGTTTTTAGTAGTCAACAAGTCTTTACATTGTAGTTCTGAGTGATAGGTTTTTAGTAGTCAACAAGTCTTTACATTGTAGTTCTGAGTGATAGGTTTTTAGTAGTCAACAAGTCTTTACATTGTAGTTCTGGGTGATAGGTTTTTAGTAGTCAACAAGTCTTTACATTGTAGTTCTGAGTGATAGGTTTTTAGTAGTCAACAAGTCTTTACATTGTAGTTCTGAGTGATAGGTTTTTAGTAGTCAACAAGTCTTTACATTGTAGTTCTGAGTGATAGGTTTTTAGTAGTCAACAAGTCATTACATTGTAGTTCTGGGTGATAGGTTTTTAGTAGTCAACAAGTCATTACATTGTAGTTCTGAGTGATAGGTTTTTAGTAGTCAACAAGTCTTTACATTGTAGTTCTGAGTGATAGGTTTTTAGTAGTCAACAAGTCTTTACATTGTAGTTCTGGGTGATAGGTTTTAAGTAGTCAACAAGTCTTTACATTGTAGTTCTGAGTGATAGGTTTTAAGTAGTCAACAAGTCTTTACATTGTAGTTCTGGGTGATAGGTTTTAGTAGTCAACAAGTCTTTACATTGTAGTTCTGGGTGATAGGTTTTTAGTAGTCAACAAGTCTTTACATTGTAGTTCTGGGTGATAGGTTTTTAGTAGTCAACAAGTCTTTACATTGTAGTTCTGAGTGATAGGTTTTTAGTAGTCAACAAGTCTTTACATTGTAGTTCTGAGTGATAGGTTTTTAGTAGTCAACAAGTCTTTACATTGTAGTTCTGAGTGATAGGTTTTTAGTAGTCAACAAGTCTTTACATTGTAGTTCTGAGTGATAGGTTTTTAGTAGTCAACAAGTCTTTACATTGTAGTTCTGGGTGATAGGTTTTAAGTAGTCAACAAGTCTTTACATTGTAGTTCTGGGTGATAGGTTTTAGTAGTCAACAAGTCTTTACATTGTAGTTCTGAGTGATAGGTTTTTAGTAGTCAACAAGTCTTTACATTGTAGTTCTGGGTGATAGGTTTTTAGTAGTCAACAAGTCTTTACATTGTAGTTCTGGGTGATAGGTTTTTAGTAGTCAACAAGTCTTTACATTGTAGTTCTGGGTGATAGGTTTTTAGTAGTCAACAAGTCTTTACATTACCTTATTGTTCCTTCTTTGACCATATGTTATACACAATATCATGATGAGCTGCCACTGAAAAAACTAACTAAAGAATTCAAATCTCAATGTAGATTGAATGTTATATTGTGGATTTATTGATTTTTTTGGGGTACCTTTTCAAGTGGATAGAGGAAAATGGTATTTTTGTGAACATTTTGATTTCATGGTTTTGAAATTTTTTGTTTATATACATACCTATTGACAATTTATACTTGTTGAACATTTAAATTAGCGTTTTCCCTAAACTCCACAATCATCGAAAATGAGTACCCAACAAATAATAATGAATCCACAATACGTGACTTAACAGTGTATATTAACACTATTTATATCTCTTACCAAATAGAGGTTTGTTCCCTGTAACCCAGGACAGCATGGCACCCCATAGCCCTCATATGTGATCTGATTTCTGTCCTGATCTCCAACCACCAAACATCTCTTGTCTCAGGCTCCTCTGCAATTAAATAGTCACTTCAGTAATGGTTATATAAGAAATAACTAAACATCTACACATAGTGGCAGGCAATTAACTAAATTGTTCAAAAATGAAAATTAACTGCAACAGAAATGTAAGCAAATGCTACAGGAGCAATTAATAATTGTTTGTCAAGGAAGGGCAGACATTTTACTAAATGATTGTTTGTCGAGGAAGGGCAGACATTTTACTAAATGATTGTTTGTCAAGGAAGGGCAGACATTTTACTAAATGATTGTTTGTCAAGGAAGGGCAGACATTTTACTCATTAGGAAAAAACTAAAGGTACTGCAAGCAAAACTTGCAAAATGTTACCCCCAATACATATCAAAAGTGAAGGTTATGATTTTGCTTAAGGAAACACCTCAAAAATAATTTGGATAAAAAAAACAACAAAATAATTAGCATTATATGGCTAAGATTCTGAGGAGTTTCAATAAATTCTTTTAAGGGGTTTCAGAGAAATTGTAGAAACACAATGGATATCCCCTGCCTGATAAATCACTATATACTATCCACTTCAAGTCACTTGCAGTAAAACATAATTAATCAAGATGATAAGCCATAAAGTTCATGAAATATGGGTCATCTGTATGGTTGAACAGGTTCATACACTTGTACCTAAACATTTAGGAACTTCAAAAGTCAACCTTGACCTTATTGAGAAAAAATAATTATATAGTGATATAAATGTAATAATGAAAAAGTACATAAAACTAGAGGATCTAAAGAGCAGGTGTCCCTCACCTGGATCATTGTGCATCTTCAAAAATGGCCACTCTCTAACAATAGAGACTAAATCATAATTCATTGCACCTCTTTTTCGTTTATCTTGTGTTGCTGATAATTTCTCTGTAAACAGTTTCTCTCTATCTTACTTTAGTTTATTTTTTATCAAAATGCATAAAATTTGTAAAAAATTGTCATTAAAGGGCAATTACTCTTAAAATTGAGAATGGAAATGGGGAATATGTCAAAGAGACAACAACCCGGCCAAAGAGCAGATAACAGCCGAAGGCCACCAATGGGTCTTCAACGCAGCGAGAAAATCCCGCACCCAGAGGTGGTCCTAAGCTGGCCCCTAAATAAAATGTGTACTAGTTCAGTGAAAATGGACATCATACTAAACTCAAAAAAATATAAATGAACTAAAATTAAAAAACATACAAGACGAACAAAGGCCAGAGGCTCCTGACTTGGGACAGGCGCAAAAATGCAGCGGGGTTAAACATGTTTTGTGAGATCTCAACCCTCCCCCTATACCTCTAGCCAATGTAAATAAAGATACACACAGCGATATGCACAGTAAAACTCAGTTTTAAAAAAGTACAAGTCCGATGTCAGAATAGGTAACAAAAGAAACTAAGCAAAATGACAATGATTCATAAATTAACAAAGGACTACTAGCAGTTACTGACATGCCAGCTCCAGACCTCAATTAAACTGATTGAAAGATTGTCTTCATCATATGAAAATCAAGTACAATCCCTCCTGTTAGGTGTTTAGTATCATACCATCATAAAATATATGAGAAGAACATAACCAACAAATTTGGCTACATTAGCTTATTTGTAGATCTTGTCTTTATGATCTTTTTTGCTGTTTACAGTTTTTCTATATCTAAAATAATTTTCACCATATTGATATTATTGTGGATTCTTGTCTTGCTGATCATTTCCTTCTATCTATTATAGTTTTCAAGATAATGGGCAAGACCAAAATAATCAACTGATGATACTGGCCAAATTGACTCATTATGTACCGTTTAAAATTACTTCTCTCCATTTATTATAATTTTCATGATAATCCTAAAAAAAAAAAAAAATCGTAAAAAGCTGTCATTTAAGGGCAATAACTCCTATACGGTGTAGTCTGACAATTTTGGTCAAAAATAGACGATATATAGATCTTGAATTTCTAAACATATTCTCCTCTCGTGTCATTTTTCTCCATCTTTAACAGTTTTAAAAATAAAACTCTATACTTGAATTTTTATCCTATGTTCTATTTTTAGCTGTGGTGCCCATGTTGGTTTGCTGGCAGGATCGTTGCACACATTTTATTATCTAGATACCCCGAGATGATTGTGTAAAGATTTGGTTAAATTTGGCCTAATAGTTACATATGAGAAGATTTTTGTAAGAAAACAAGATGCACTGCAATGGACGATAACAGATTACGGCCGCCAAGTTATGGAAAAAAGAAAAAGGGTCGATAAAAAATATTCCCTTGAATTTGACAGTTGTAGGAAATTAATCCTACATTTCATTGCAGTAAAAAATTTCTGAGTCATAAACATAAATCTTGGGTGTTTCAAAGCACCATTATTTTTTTATTTGGTGTTTCTATAGAATATTTTGGAAACTTGAGGTTAAATGGTTACTAAATCTTGTACACAGGAAAAAAAGGGGTGAAATTTGATTGGTTAACTTCCAGTGATGGTTATTTTCTTATATGCAATGAAATGTTATGTGAAATTTTGTCTATAGTACTGGACAGGATAAAACTTTACTCATGCAAAGTATTTGTATATTTGAAACAAAGATAAATTCTGCACAATTTTTTTAAAAGTGCAAATTTAACAAAGACTAATAGGGGGAAATCAATGGTGGTATTACACCTACATTAGTAATAAGAAAACAGCATAGTTATTCATACAAAATACCTGGATTATGGATCTTGTCCAATAATTTGACTGACTTGGCAGACACCACACCACCAAGATGTGATATGAACCCCACAGGAAAACTAGTCATAGTGAAAAATGGGTATTCCTGAAATAAAAAAGGCAAATTTAAGCACATAGGGGAATCCAGACTCTTGATCAATAATGTTTGGTCAATCTAAAGGCCTTCTTTCTTCGCTTATTTATATGGAAACTGCAAGTACATGTAATCGTTTCAGCCATACCAGAAACATCTCTAGTTGTGAGGATAAGACAGGTAAGCATAATTCAAGCATCATAGAAGCTATTTTTACTATATTGCGAAACATTCAGTATTGTAAATTCAGAAATTATTGCGATGTTTTTATTATTGTGAAAAATGCGACAGGGTTATAATCGCAATAATTAAAACTCGCAATTTGAAATTTTTATATGATTAAAACAGGACTTTTCTCAATATTGCAAAAATTAAAATCGCATTTTAGTCTAAAATGACAAAATCGCAATTATTTCTGAATTTACAGTATTATAACTATGGACTTTATACCTGAAGTTATGTGCAAATTGTATAAAATTCAAGATCTAATAACTTAAACAATTAATTTCTAAATGTTTGAATAGCAGTTCAAATCTGCCATAATTGAATGTCATATAATCATAATTGTTACCAATCACGATCATTTGAAAATGCCTGTACCAAGTAAAGAATGTGATACTTCCTTTCCCATACATAAAGGGATGTCTTATTCCATTATACTGTATTCATACCATCAAGTCTATACTTGGTTGCTGTGCTGATAACTTGGAAACAGATTTACCTCCACTTCCTATAGCACTGCCACTACCACTACTTCCTGTTAAACTGGATCCTAAAATAAATCAGTCTCATTTAGTCATTCAAAGTGTTCAAATATGGCATGCAACCTCGAAATCTTTGATTGATGCAAGGAAATATTGAAATGTATAATTATATTTATGCCCTACCAGATATATATGGCTGCTGTATGTATATGTAATATAGCTTGTTTCTGACAAGGATATTCAAAAAGTGTGGTAAAACTTTGAACTTAATGAATATGACCAATAGAAGACAAGATAACTTGAAACATGACTGAATGACCAATGAACAAGAAAATAGAGAACTACAGTACTAAGATATTAAACATACCAAGAAAATAAGATCGCATAAGAGAATAGAAGAAATGATGAATTCTTAAAATACATATAATAAAACTACTAATTATTATCAATTATTCTGCAAGAAAATAAATGTTAATATATAACACTCTACCAAATGTATGATTGTGTTTCAACAAAGCTTGTAACTGACAAAGAAGTTACCTCTGTGGCTAAAAACTTACGCTCTCTTTATAAAGCAGAATTTATAACTTTAACATATCACTGAACATGTTCAAATGTTTGAAAAAAATAGTCTTTAACGGGTTGGAATTTTTTTTTCTAAACAAACGTTTATTTCATTTATATCCAAGCATAAATGTTACATATATCAATTTTTCAATCTTCAGATGCAGCTCAACGAGTTCCAAATGCATACAAAAATTCCTAAAAATCAGAAATACCACCCAATGATGTATATGTTGCCTTAATTGTGATAGTTTTACCTTTAGGAGGCGTGTTGGTACTTATATCAGAGTCTGATGATCTTCTGTTGGTCTGTGATGGAGGGACCATCTTGACAGGAGATGTTGTACTTCTTACAGGCTGGACAGGAGGTGATGATGGTGCCAAGGTATCCTCAGGCACAGGGGAACTGAAAGCAAAGCTAAATGCTGATTGGCCAGGCAGAGAAGGTGGAGCAGAGGGAGGGGGAGAGGCAGTGGGTATTTTGCGTGCAGGTCTAGAGGGTGGAGTCACACTATGTTGGGTGTATCTTGTGGGCGGAGTTACACTCTGTTGGGTGTGCCTATGAGGAATGGAATACAGCCTCAAACTGTAAATAAAGAAAAGAAAGAAACAGAAAAAACTAAATTAGTGTGGTTAGTACAAAAAATCTAAATAAAAATATTATGTTTATACAAAACAAAAACAACAGTGAGAGTCTAATTAAATGATTATATGTTACTTTGTTATTTTGAAGCACAGACCCAATCAAGCAAACGCCCTATCCCAATGCTGTAAAACAGACAATATATACCAGAGTACTTGTCCACTAAGGAATTCCTAAAACAATTCAGTTTCTCATTATATTTCATGAAGAATGACACGTTTTTGGGTTGTTTTTGTAAATGTACTTAATTATACAAAGGAGTAGAGCCAGTAACCCCAATAAACGGCCCTGGAAACGCATACATTTTTTAAAATTCAATTGTTTGAGTATATGTTATGCGGATGTATTGCTAAATTTATTATTTTTGAAAGCATAATAAGAATAGTTGTATTTTATAAATATATTAGCCTGAAATACGAATAGATTTCATTTTAGTCCATTTTTCTGGAAATGTTTTACCTTTTACAACCTTTTTTTCATGATTTTATAAGTGGCACCACCCCTAGCCCATTGAAATTTTTGGTAAAAGTACAGAATATGGTATATAGAGAATATTTTAGCAGTAATTTGTTTGAGAGAGGGGTGGCCCCACTGTTAAAATTTCAAAACAAGAAATAAATAATTTCTACAAAGTTTTAATATTGTGACCCAATAATCAAAAACTGTCAACATCAGGTTATTGTATTCATTAAATTAGACTATTTTGATAAAGTATAATCAGCCTAAAATAAGACCTAATAATCACATGACTATCTCATACTGCATTGTGACAGGAATTTGCTTGTTTGAGACCTCTGTGCAAAAAAAAATCCTTTAAACTAATGTAACTGAATATAATGCCTATCCCAAGTAAAAAAAAACAACATTCATTGACAATTATACAGATCTGTTCATATTTAATTTAGCCAAAATTTGAACAAATTGCCATCACATCTTTCTACCTTTTAAACTTATGTCACTGTACACATTGCCATTCTTTTAAAATTTATTTTGATTTTGCTAATGAAATGTCTTAAATACTACTGGTAACTACACATTGTTATTCTTTATAATTATCTCCCCTTATAATTTATCTAATTATCTGTATGTATCAAACAGCTCTGCTGGAATTTAAAAAAAATATTTTTAGTTCAAATAATACTAATGCATCTTTTCTCCAAAAGCAATTAATCTTCTTGTCTGTATTACTTTGAAACAGTATCAGATAAAGGAAATCAAATTACAAATAATATCAAATACTTGTATGATTTTTGTGCAACAGTAAATAAAAAAAAAAGAAATTCATCATTTTATAAAAAAATCAATATTAGAATTAAAACACTGACTGTAATCACACATGCCTGCATCAGTCCAAGATATTAATAAATACACATGCATTTACATCCCCAAAAAGTATGCTGATACCTGTTCCAACAACATGTCTACAGTTTGATTGATTGATTGATTGATTGTATAAGTGAATACATTGGAACTAACTGAATGTTTAATTTAGAGATTGGAAGTTTAGTTGACAGACTCGTTGACTGAAAAGGATGCAGTATACTAAAATAATCATGAAAATATCTGTTCTTTACAGGCATATGACAATTCTTTCTACTTCTTTTATATACAAACTTTGACCTCAAATATTTTACTGGAAATTGTCATTTTTAATATGTTTTATTAAGTTAAGGGATAAGGTTGTTCAATCAACTTTAATTTATCTGTGCAAAAACTTGTATCCCCAGCAGCATGCATGCAAAAGCAAATCTATGTCATGCAAAATTATAGACAGAGGCAGATGTAGAAAAAACTTCGAATCAATCATATCAAAGAAAATCAAGTAAAAAACACAAAATATGTAACATAATATCTTGTTAAATGACAGGACAACCAAATATTCTATACAATTGGCTATTCCAGAATTAAAGAATTGTGGGGAAATTCATTGTTTGTTCATGAAGGGCATTTACAAATATATGATACCCAGGGTAGGCACTTTCAAAATGGGGTAACTATCTTTAGAGGCGAATGTTAAGTTTCACTATAAACATTATCACTGTACTTGACACCAACCCATAGTTGGGATTTGAAAGTGCCTTCCCTTGGTCCCATGAATGTTTTTATGAAACAGCTCTAATTAAGATGTTTATACCTGACATTGATTTTATGCCCAACAATAGAACAAATGACTAAGATAACATCATCTGAAATCAAATACCTTGATGGAATGATTTGAATCAAACATTTAATATATGTTTGAATATCCAATGTTTAGGACTAAACACAACATTTTGGTGTAAGCTTTGTAATTATTACACAGAATTTGCTGTAATACATTAAATACTAAATCTGTGTAACCCTAACACTAGTCACTACCTACAATACAGAGATATGATACCATTTCTGTGTGAAAGACATGTGATTAGATAAAATAGCCTTCAGCTAGTAAGCTTATAACCAAATGTTGGGGGAAAAAAAGGGTAAACATTAACCATATTAAAAATATTATTTTGGCCCATCACAACTTAGACATCAGCAAAAACAGCAAAGTCCACTTGGTTGACCGGTATGTGATAGGGTTATCGACTACGTACCACAGGCCATTGGATTTCAGTGGGCACTGCATGTCTCCCACTTCAAGAAAAATACTGTCATGAAATGGTAAAAGGTATATAAAAATTAAATTGTTGTTGTTTAATCATATTAAATCATGGAAATGTCAAAAATCTTTGCATTCAATATATTTTTGTTTCTTTTACGTCATGAGCTTGTTAGCAAAAAAATAAAAGTATAACTTTATGCAAGACAGAATTCAGATACATATATGTATATCATTGTAGTGTAGTATCTTTATGTGTATCTTTTTGTTTAATATTCAATAGCTATTTGCTGTGCTCAATCAGAGTTATGTATTTTGATGTTAACTTCGTATTGGAATCAGGGAAATACACGAAATGGGACTTTCTAATCTACTGCTTTTTTTTTCAAACGTCATAGAGCATTTATGTCACTTGTAATCAAGATGTGTTAGCTAATACGCATGAACAATATACTATTTGGTCTTTAAAATGAAGAACATGTTCTTTTTATGTGAAGTTATCAGGAATGGTTGCCTGTTTTGGTAATGTCACAATTAGTAAAATAATAGGACAGCTAGAAAATTGGACATCATAATTAAATTTTGTTTTATGAAGAACTGAGATCAAGTGAACCAATCTTTGTTTATCAAGAATTATTCAAACAGTTTTGGGAAAGGTTAATCTGGCAAAGATACTATTAAATCTATTGAAGAAGATGTCATATGAAAATGTTAATATTTTAAATTTCAGCAACAAACACTCTTAAAGTTACTACTAGTTAGATTTTTTCAATTAAAACAATGTTTACATTACCGTATACTAAAAAATAAAGTAATATACAATGCAAATCAATATGCAATCTAGAAACAGCAATTCAATTTAAGAAATTTCAAAAAAAAAACCATTCAAATTATTTGTAGTTATTGACAAAGACGATCTTATTAGAAAATAAGAGATTTTCTACCCATTTTAAAATTCACATCAATGATATTCAGGAAATAAAAATTGCAGAATTCTGACTATTTCAGTTTACTTTATAAACAAGAATGACAGTCTAAGGTCATAAGTGTTCCCCTTATCAGAAACACATTTTTAATAAAAATTCTATTAGAGATATTGCATGCCCGAATTGAATATTTTTTTAATCCATTAAATACAGAAATATCTGCAGTTTCTTGCAATAATTATCAAATGTATTTATGATTTATACTTTTAGGGAAATCACTGTTAAAGACAAGTATGACTTTCTGTAAGAAAAGATCATATGACTATATAGGAAAACATGACACTAAATTTCAATATTTGTATACAAATAATGATTCCCCAGTAATGACATATCATAAAAATATTTTATAATAACCATGAAAAACTGTATACATTTATCAGTTTAACATTAAACAAAATCTCGAATTAGTTTTTGACAAAATATTGAAAAAATATGTTGTTATAAGAAATAATAGGGGAATTTCAAAACAGTGAAACACTTTTGACCTAAGACTGTATATTAATATCCCTTAATCAATCAATCATAATTTCAGTACCAAATCTGCAGATACATTTAAAATGAATTATACATTTAAAAACACCACTCTACATGAAAATGTAAATGTGGGTCTACAAACCAATTTTCAAAACACCTATAAATGGGACAGCTTGCTTATAAAGTAGACCATCTTATAAGTCAACTTTCAGTAGTTCTACATTGACAATAATTTAACATAACTGGCTGGTTCCTGAAATAATCATTCTATTTCATTTTCATCACCATACTACTCTAGTAAGCAATCAGTTATCTATTGACATACCAAATTCCTATAACCATGCAAGGGAGATAATTCCTCGCTATACTTACTCTTTCAGTAGAGGTGACACCCCCTGTGGTGAGGGGGGCTGCTGGAGGATCTTAGCTATGTTTACTACTGTCCCTATACCTCGTGCTACAATTCCTGATTCTCCTTCTAGATCAAAACATTGGTAGTAACTAAAAGTAAAAGGTAAGTCATACTGATATTGTTTATTTTTTATATATATAGATTTTTACCCTCAACATCAACATTCTTCATTGTTCTTCTGGCTACTATATCATGAAAGGGGAGATGTGGTATGATTGCCAATGAAACAACTATCCAATTGCCTATTCTGCTAAATATCAGATTTCTAGAATTGCTCATACTGTTAATAATATTTATAGAATTGCCCTTGCTGGCAAATATAAAAAAAATTTAATTGCCCATATTGCTTAATATAAGAGTTCAGGAATTGCCTACTGTGGTAAAGACATTTTTGCTACAAGATGTTTTTTTTAAAATATGCAAATGTAGGTAAAATACCTATTTTGATTATAAGACCTTGGCTCATCTCTATATTGACCAAAAACTACTTGTAAAATGGCAATTCTAAATATAACAACTTCAATGTTTTATGATGCCATGAAAGCATTACCTTTCTGCACTAAAGTGTCCAGATTATATCTAACTGTTTATTTACATTTATTTACAATTGATTTTAATCAGGGCGATCTAGATCTTGACAATAGTAAAAACACTTGTCTGATGTTGAAGACTGAATGTTTACCTCTACATGTCTCTAACTTTTTTGTTCTGTTGGGTTGCTACCTGAATGATGTATACCCCATATTTCCATTTATTTGAATACATTTATATTATCAAGGAAGTGCTTTAGAAAAAAGACAATCCAGACATGCCTACTTGTAACAAATTATTGCCTGAAGATCATCCTTTTACTACTTGTGAGATAAAAGTTACTGTAAAATAGCATTTCTACCCAGAGATAAAAGTTACCCTATAATAGCATTTCCTCCCAGATCTAAAACTTTCACTCCAATCTTTCTCTGCAATTCACCTGAAAAAGGAAGAATTTGTGTTTGTAACATTATCGTACATTATTGTGACTGATCTGAAAAGAACACTCAAGGTACAACTTATTACTACTGACCAAATATGAAGACATTCTGTAAAGTAGTATTGGAAAAATGTATGACAAAAAATTTGAAGTTCATTCAACATATTGAAAAATCCAAAGTATCTAAAAAAAGGAAGTAGGTATCTGACCAAGGATCTGGAAATTTTTTCACACAATTTCGGTCATTTTGAGATGACTTAAAAGTTTGTGTCCTTTTTTCAAATTGTCGAAATCACTCTAGATTCATAGCATCAACAGACTTGTGTTGACTGTTTCATTGCATTTACTTCATGAATTTTCTTACCATTTTTCTAAAAACGTTCAAGAACAGTTTAGGGAAGGCAACAGTTTAAAATTGAAATGATTTTAATGACTCAAAATGGTAAATTTCTTAGACATCGCTAGTTTGTCTTTCTATTTTGAAGACGAAATTAAAACTGGAAGTTTTGCAACAATACTAAAGTACGATTAATTCAAGATTCATTTCCGGGATTCGTTTTGTTTATCAAATTGACAGGAAATCACCGGCTTTTTAATTTTATTACCTTTAAAAGTGTTTGAATACAACAGATAACAGTTGCACTCGTTTAATTCAGCATAAAATCATTTTGCATTTACGCATGTGTATTACATAGTAAATAAAGCACATGTGTAACTCATGAAAAATTACTTTTTTCTACGTAAATTAAACATGTTAATTAAGTTTTAATCTTTAAATCAGAATTGACTGTTGTCTTTGCTGAAAAGTAATTAAATAATGAAGACAGTTGTCATGGAATTTTAATCTCTTATGATATTAGGTCGGAGCTTGTGATCAATGTCAGGTGTGAATTAAAAACACAGGTCAAAAGTGATAAGCGGTCATTAGCCAAAAATTCCCAGAGGCAGTACTTTAGTTATTAGGAGGGCCCTCAGAATTATACTATATTGGAGTTTTATTGCAGGAAAGGGATTACAAAACAAAAAAACAAGGGCAAAATGGCTATTAAGAAATCCGATCTCAATCAAATGACCGAAATTATTTCTGCAAAAAAATAAAATTTGTCCCCAATCCCAATCTGCCGTTTAGGACAATAGCTTTCAGTTTAGGTCATGACTGGCAAATATGACCGTTTCCGGACCCTTGCATCTGACATATCCTAAAGTGCTCACATGTTACAACTTATCACTGTCACGCTGCATACCATTTAGTTGTTTATCCTCATTTATCTTTTGATGTTAATGAGTTGTATTGATTATATTGGAATCTATGGAATTCTGCTTTTATCTATTGACTTTAACAGTATATTTACCTGACAGTCGAGAAAAGAGCCTCTGTCTAGCTTCATTGGAAGCTCTAGGAGTTCTAATTTTATCTATCCATTTGTACTCTGGGTCATCATTAACCACAAGTTCTTCAACAAATCCATGTATTATTTGTAGCTTATATCCACTGGGTACCTCAGCAGCTGAAATGAAACATAAACAATATTGTTATTGTTATACCCACTGGGTTCTACAGCAGCTGAAATAAAACACAATCCTTATCGTAATTAGTATTCCCACTGGGTACCTCAGCAGCTTCAGATACATTATCGTCATTTTTTTAACCACTGGGCACCTCTGCAGCTGAAAAACAGACAATGTTGTTATTGAAACCCACATCATAACCTCAGCAGCTAATATCAAATAAAGAAGATATTGCAAGAATTATATTGATATTCTTTTATTTTATTAGTTTTTGAAAACAATTTAAAAAATAACTTTTTTTATAATCTGAAAATAAAATTTGAGTTAAACGTTTCAAATCTCCTGAGAATTGAATATCACTAGATATCAAGTCAAGCAATTTGATTTCAATATAATAAAAGGTGCAGTTTATTACTGTAAATTCAAAAATTATTGCATGTATTTATAATTGTGATTGTTGACCAATCGATACAAATGCGATTTTAATTATTGCGATTTCAAAACATGGCAAAACTTTCTGAATTTACGGTGTTATTATTGAAATTAAATATAAAGTATTGATTTCACGCTATATCCAATTCTCACGAGCTATTAAATCTATCTCTTTTTAACAGGGAAATTGTTATTTGTGTCAAATAGTAAATTCTGTAAAACTTTGTTTTAGTCTTTGACATCTAAACAATTTGCTGTCGTAGATCCACTTCTGGCACCAACATGGATGTTAACATCAGATGATTTTAAGCTTTTTGAACTCTTGAGAATTCATGGAATTAAATTTGACAATAAGAAGGTTTTCAGGTAAGAAATGTGAGAATTTTATATATTTTTTAAGGGATCATTTACCTCTGTTGCCACAGAGGAAAAGTAGTCATCAGAATTTAGTATCACATTGCAGAATAGGCCAATCATATTAACACATTTTTCATATCAATCATTTGTATTACATCATGTTCAGTGTGATACAAGAAATATCTCATGAAGGGAAGAGGTAACAGGCCAACCCCTTTCTTTCCTTAATGAACAATTTTTTAATACAGTTGTTTACTTCTACACATGTTTTCAAAACACTATACCCTGGGACTATGACTTTAATCCTAAAGATCCAAGCTAATGTGGTTTCATTATTACACGTGGGTAAACCAATTTTCATGGATTTCATTGGTATAGATTAAACCAAAAAATCAAAAATTCAAAGAACAACAAATTGAGTGTAGTCTTGTATAAAATTTAGAATGGAAACGGGGAATGTGTCAAAGAGACAACAACCCAACCAAAGAGCAGAAAACAGCAGAAGGCCACCAATGGGTCTTCAACACAGTGAGAAAATCCCACATCCAAAGGCTGGGTACAGCTGGCCCCTAAACAATAATGTGTATGCAGACTTTGACAAAACCATGAAATCTCATATCCAAGAAAATATAATTGTTCCTCAATCCACAAAAATGAATGAATCCACAGTATTGTGATTAATCTTTATAAATTCATAACAGTATAAAACAATTAAGAAGAGTTAATGATCTGTTAACTTACTGCTGAAGAACTGCACCCCACAGGATGACTGTCGAAACTTATTAACATCTGTAAACAATTCTACTCTCACGATGATGTTTAACTCTCCTCTTATACCTAGTTAAGGAATAAAGAATAGAAAAATTCACAGGAAAATACACAAATAAATAAAGCATATTCATATACTGTTCTTGTTATCAGATATGTGGAACGTTTTGTAAAAAAGATTAAACAAACTTATTATGTAAATCAAACCTTTCAGGATTTATTTAATGTTTATGTTTTGGCTGTTTTTTATATGATTACAATGAAGTAGTTGTTTACATCTTTACATTTTGTATAGACAATGTTGATCAATATGTCTTTGTTTTTGTGTGTAGTTGGGTTGCTGTCTCATTGACATATTCCCAATATCTTCTTTCATTTATATCTATGTTACATGGGTCTATTGGAATAAATTACATTCAGAGGCTGTTGAAACTTATCCAGAAGAGTAATTAACTTTATTTCATTTTTAGACAGCCTTGATACAATTCAATTATAGTAACATTCTGAACTTAGTCTGACACTGAAAGTTATGGCTTTAAAAAAACCATTTAGCATTTAGTAAGCTATACTTTTTCAGTTGAAACACAAATCACTGAGAACCATGAGGCTCACATGTGTACAAATGTACTAAAATTACATAACTTATGAGTGCTTATCAACTGACAGCAATTTTTCTTGTCTCAAAAATTGAAAATTTGATATTTTGATTTGTTCTTATTTTTAATATAAGAGAAACTTTACACCAAACTGCACCATACAAACCATGCATAGTGTCATAGATGGGAAACCATTCACTGATCATGATCATGTTTGGAGTCTCTGTACTCACCATGCATAGTGTCATAGATAGGAAATCATTCACTGATCATGTTTGGAGTTTCTATACTCACCATGCATAGTTTCATAGATAGGAAACCATTCACTGATCATGTTTGGAGTCTTTGTACTCACCATGCATAGTTTCATAGATAGGAAACCATTCACTGATCATGTTTGGAGTTTCTATACTCACCATGCATAATGTCATAGATAGGAAACCATCCACTGATCATGTTTGGGGTCTCTGTACTCAACGTGTATAGTTTCATAGATAGGAAACCATCCACTGATCATGTTTGGAGTCTCTGTACTCACCGTGCATAGTGTCATAGATAGGAAACCATCCACTGATCATGTTTGGAGTTTCTTTACTCAGCAGGGGATTCAGATCGACATAAACTTTACCAATTGCATCATGAGCACTATAGGTGTCATAATCCAAAACTCTGCAATGCATAATAATTGGCAGTAATATACCAATGTCCAGAAATAAAGCAGTTACCGTTATTGTATTTTGTTTGTTATTTTATCACAGGCTGTTGGTTTTCTCGTTTGAATTGTGTTACATTTAGTTGTGTAATGCTACATCAAATATGTTTAAACATACAAGTAGAAATTTATTTTTAAAGTTCAACGCAAAACCTGCATCAAAATCTGTGTTAGATGATAGAAAAATAAATGCTGTAAATTATAAAAAATGGTCTTTGCTGTTATTTTACGGAATATCCTTACCTAATTTCTAGAGGCTCATCCTGCAGAACATTGTCTTCTACCTGTAGATTGAAGCAAAATAAAGATTAACTAGAACACACCCCCGAAATGGCGAACATTTAGAGCAAGGATTTGTGTAGTTAGGATCCTTGTTCAGAGCGTGGTTGAAAGTATGTAAACTGTTGTAGGATGAATTTTTGTAAAAGATTTTATGACGAGAATTTCAGGAAAGGTATCAAAAGTCATAGGTACTTGGGGACAGGACAATTTTTTTTTTAGCCCTCCCTTTTTTTCAAAATCCGTTATTTTTTTATTTCTATTAATTTCAATTATGTTCACGTTTTTCTGTATACTATGAACATACATATACTATAAATTAAGTGTATTTGCTATTTACTATCCATTCCAAGTTTACTATCCACGGCGGTAACTGATATATTATGTGGCGAGTCTCTATATAATATATCAGTGACCGCAAACCATCCTAAACGGAAGTCTTATCTATGACTTAAAAGTCTGTCCGATGACAGAAACTATATCTGGACGCCTTTATTTTCGTTTTCCTCCCAAAATAATCCAAACGGAATAATCATAAGCGAGGATGACAAATGTGACTATGCATGGTACCTATAGGACACAGAGGCATAATGATTAATTTATTGTCTTAAAGAAATGCACTACGAAATAACTGTGTTCTCGGGCCAGATGAACATGACAATCTATCACCATATACATCAAACTCTCTGAAGCAAGATCACAAAATTCTTTCAACAGACTATGAATGATGCAGCTCAAGAATATGAAAAAAAAAAAAACATCCATTAAAATCTATATAGGTTATTTTTCAATATTAAATTTCATCATTGTCATTTGGTTCTTATAAGACTGATTAGTTTCCTATAAAAGAGTATTATAAGCTTTTACCCTTTTCTTATAAAATGTCTTTTTTTAGTAACAACAGCCACATTGATCATGCAATGGGAATGATGGGATTAACCATGGAATGATGCTAAATAATCAATAAAAACTATTTACCTCAAATATAAACCATTCAGAATTCCAATGTGGATTTAAAGATTTCTTGAACACGTCTGTCTTCACTGTCTCACTACCAAATTTTACCTATCAATATTTAGAAACATAAATACATGACAGAAATATTGTAGAATTTCATTTAATTTTTGGATATAAAAGTCAAATTGTTGAAGGGTTGCCTTTAGCTGCTTACATCCATGCAATATGGATTCTGGTGGATAGTTGTCTCATTGGCAATTATACAGCATTTTTTTATTTTTACAAGTTATACATATGTCATTTTTTTAATTGAAAGCATATATACTTGCTGAATTAGGTTTATTCCCACTTTCATTGTCAGCCCTTAAAAATACAATTAATTTCTGGATTCATATCATTAATATGAATAGCGAGAGTATGGTAAAGAAAGCATACAGTGAAAACTTTAACATGTCTAATGGTTTTTGTAGTAAAATAAAAGTGTTATTTGGTAAACTTGGTTTTCAGCATGTTTGGGAAAATCAGAATACTATGTCAAAGACAAAATTACTTTCTTCTGTTCAAAAGAAATTAGAGGAGGAATTCATAAAATCCTGGAAACAAGCTCTTTTTTGTGACTCTAATAAAGATAGTCATGGTAATAAACTAAGAACGTATCGCAAAGTTAAAAATAATTACGAATTAGAACAATATCTCCTACTGGACCTTAAAAAAAAAGTTATTTCTAAAATGGTAAAAATTAGAATTAGTAATAGCAAATTACTAATAGAAGTTGGTAGATATACTAGAACACCTTTAGAACAGAGAATTTGTCCACTTTGCAAGGATGGAATTGAAGATGAATTCCATTTCCTCATTAAATGTAAAGCGTTAGAATTTAATAGAAATATACTCTTTTGTAATTTAAGTGATATAGTTCCATCTTTTGTCAATATGTCTGAACAAGATAAATTTAGTTTCATTTTGAAAAGTAATGATACTGACATTTGTACTGTATGTGTAGCTGGAATAAGCGATATGTATGATTCGAACATTCATTTAAAGCAAACATAATGTTGTTAAGAACTGTTGTAGTATTAAAGCTTATTGTAATAGCTTGAAGTGATAATATAGTATGAATAACACCTCCACGCAATGTAGATATAAAATATGTGTCTCTTATCATTGAGAAAACATATCTCTGTATATTTGTTTTTTTGTTTATTTTTGTCTGTTTTTGTATTTGTATTTTGTAAATGTCAGCTGGTATCATTCCTGTATTGGAATTTACACCAATAAAATTATTTGATTTGATTTGATTTGATTTGATTTGATTTGATTTGATTTATATAGTTTTTGTGGGTTTTTTTTTACTTTTATGTTTATACTTCATTTGATAAAATAATGCAGATCTTACATAAAATCTCTTTGGACCTAGCTAAACATTCACAAGACATGCCATTATAAATTGAGAAAAAATCTTTCTTATTTAAACTCAAGGTTTCACACATAAAAAATTTAACCTGAATAAAATACCTGTACATTTGTAGTTATATACAATGATACTAACCTCCACAAACGCATCAGTTAGGTCTGTAGACCTATCCATTACTGGCAAATCTCTTCCAGCCAAAATACGAACTTTTAACTTTCCAGGCATCTTATTAGTTTAACCAAGTATTACTACAAAATATATTAAAAAAACAGTTATCAACATTAGTAAAAATCTGAAGCTAGTAAGATCCAAATTATCTCTTTTCACAAAATATCTTTAGATTCATAAGTGACTTTTATCATTATATTTTTTGTGATAATGACTCTTTAAGTCTTATTTCAAAGACCACTGTATAATCCCAACTCTTTTACCCCAAACTATGGATAAGAATAAAAGGAGATATGAGGTATACATAAAGCACTGGCTACGATTACCGCAAAAAGTAACAATAAGAAATAATTATTATGACTTCCGAGACTAATTGCCAAAAAGTATTTCTGGACAGAGACCTGACTTCATACGGAAACTGCAGGTAACAATAATATATTTTTTTATTGTTACCTGCAGTTATTGTTACCCACAAGCTGATATATTCAGACAAGCACTGATCTAAAAAACGTTTGATTTGCAAGCAATCTCTGAAATGAATTTAAACAATTAAATTATGATGTAAAAAAACTTTAACATGGTTAAACTTCCAGATGTATTGACTGAATATCAAATATTAATAAACTATTTTTTTTTAAATATTAAAAATTCGATTAATTAATATTTAAAAATGATTTTTGATATAAAAAAAATCATTTTTTAATATTAATAAATAGGGAATAAATTCTACAATGGCTTGCCATAGACCTATATGATGTTCACTTTTGCATTTTTAGCAGAGTCGATTAAAACAACTCATTATAGATGGCTTTCGAAATTTGTTCACCCTTCTGTCAATGTAACAAAGCTTATATATATATGCTTTTACATACAGTAAGCACCGATTGTTTGATGACTTCATATACGCATATTGACCTCGGATCAACCGGTGTAATTTGTTCATTAAGAAAAAAAACTCGAGATTGGTGTATTCATAATGGAACTGCTCATTGTGCATATACATGTATACTGTAAGTTCAGAAATTATTGTGTGCATTTATTATTGCGATTTTGTCATTTTAGACTAGAATGCAATTTTAATTTTTGCGATATTGAGAAAAATCCTGTTTAACTCATATAGAAAATTTCAAAATGCGAGTTTTAATTATTGCGATTATAACCCGTACGCAATAATAAAAACATCGCAATAATTTCTGAATTTACAGTATATGGATCTATAGTTTGCGACGTTTGTCTGGAGTAGTACCACCTAAATGTGTTGGCCTCAAAATGCCACCTAATATAAAAATAAGGAGATGTGGTATAATGATTGCCAATGAGACAACTATCCACCAATGTTAAAATGAAGTGGATGTAAGCAATTATAGTCTACTGCACGGCCTTCAACTATGAGAAAAACCCATACATGTACCGTATTGTCGGCTATAAAGGGCTACATACTGGATGTGCAGGAAGTGCCACCAAAATAAATAGCTAAAATAATTGTAAATCTTTCAATTTATCATTACTTTGTTCAATAAATAATTTTCTATTCAGTCATATCAATTTGTTCAAATATGTAAAACAACGCATACAGGACAATGACAGTATAAAACATCCCACTGCTACTGACACAGAAAAGACACAATTTGTGAATGTAAAAAACAACTGATAAAACTTGAAATTTTACACAGAAATATTAAACTACAAGTATCTTTAAAATGCCTGCAAAGTTGATCACACTTCCAAATAGTAAGTGAGAAACTGAAATTTCATGAAAATTTTTCAAAAACAGATAAATTTATATAGCCCGCTTGAGCTTACCAGTATATAGACAGATCAGGCTAGATATACAATATATATAAGCCAAAACGTCAAATAGTTAGTACCTGCTAATAGACATGTATTTTTTTGGAAGCAAAACAACTCACCCTTACCTTACATAAACTCCTACCATGCATGCTGACCAACTCGCCCCAACTTTCCAAACAACCACAGATATATAACAATTACAAAATTGCTCCATCAGGATTATAAGATATATATTTGTTCTACAAACTTTTCAACATAACCCCCCCACTGATGAAAAAGAGCTCATTCTCTACAAATTCACCCCACCAATAATATATAACAAATAGAAGATTCAGTATGCATACAGTCAAATCTACTAAAAATAAACTTGCACCACTGATATATATATGACAAATACAAATTACTGGCCCACCCAGAATGTGAGAAATATGAAATATATACATTTTACAAACTTTTCACAAATACATGTACCCCCACTTGTTAAAAAAAACATATACACCACAAATAAAACTGCAAACTTGCCCAAATATAATTTTAGAGACAAGAGACCATTCCTTTCATTGCTATAAATTCAAATTGCCATGATTGCTGTTAAATTAGAATCCTTAAATTGTTATGATAATAACTCGCATTTTGATTCATCCACCCAGGTTTCTTTATCATTATTATGTATGTTATGCAAATAAAGATGCTTGCTTTGCATTGCTACATCCTCTGGGACAATTCTTTTTTTTTTTTTTTGCAGACGAAAAATAAAAGTGTTGCTCTGCTTTCTTTCATGTGTCTATTGGCAATTTTCAATGAAGCTTTTTAAAATTGTCTGATAAACTCTTAAACATGTTAAACGTGTAAAAAGTGTGTCAACATTGTTTAACTATCATTCCTTTAGTTTCACATAGCTTATTACCACAATATAGAATGTACAAAGAGAATTTACTGTCAGGTTAACAACAACATTCTCTACAGAGCGAAACTGATTTTTCACAAAAAAATAAAACTAAAATAAAAAGTTTTTCCTGCCTGCTGGGCTTTGATAATTTTCCCATGTTAGGCTTACATTAATTTTTCCATGGCCATGATGGCCTTAAGTAAGTATTGCAAAACTTTAATAGACTGACATAAGAAATATGTTGGAATACTGGTCTTCAGACTAGTGATGGAAAAGACTTTGGTGCAATACTGTTTTAATGTGGTGATCGAAGTTTATTCATATCACAACTGGGGTGCATATAAATAATTCTTTTCATTAGTGGGGCCAGTTGGCGGCATGATGCTTATTTAGCAGGATTATAAACTCTGTTTAAATCTAATTAGTTGGGCAAGTTTTCAGGTATTTATTCAGTGGGATAAAACTCTTTTTTTTTTAGTGGGTCAAGTTTTTAGGTCTTTATTCAGCAGAATTAAGTCCTTTTCATTTGTGGGGCAAGTTTGATGGTTCTTTTTCAGCAGGATTTAACTCCTTTTTATTAAGTGGAACAAGTTTGCTGGTTCTTATTAAGTGGGATTAAACTCCTTTTCATTATTAGGGAAATTTGGCAGGCCTTTACACAGTGGCATTAATAACTCTTTTCGTTAGTCTGCAGGTAAGTTTGCATTCTTTACTCAGCTGGCGTACCACATGCACTGGCACTTAATAACTCTTTTCGTTAGTCTGTTTGTTTTTTTTGTCAGAGATTCTATTTTGTAGTCAAAAAGTAGCATGAAGCGACTCCGTGGGGAAAATACTATAAGGGCTGTATCCCTGCTGTACCAATGTAGAGTAACAATAGACCTTGTATGAAACAACCAGGCTATACATGTGCACCATGAGTCATGACATTGACAGACATCTGGTCTGAAAGATTCCGAGAATAGATTCATGCAGGTTAAACGACGAAAATGTGACAGGCGAAAAATACATTTTTGGTAGTTTGGTGACAACTTCTGTTATAGGTCATTGGTCAGAATCTTTGAAGCAGTCTGTCTGACAAACCAATATTTGCCTGGGCCAGCCTGGGGCTGATGCATGTGATTAGCAGCAGAGAAATGTCAACTTCAAGACCTTTGACATATGAACACACATTGACAACTAATCTGAATCATTGCATGTAATACCAACTAATTCATAGTGAAATTATGATGAAAATTCAAACCTGAAGTAATGATTCCTTCGCAAGTGAATTAACTAAAATAAGAAAGGATTTCGTCTGCATGTGCTTGCCTGCAAAGCCATTTTGAATTATTTATTAATAAGAGATGTACGTTCCGAATGGATTTTTTTAAAGAATGTCATCTCAAAGTACAATTATAGAACATCAAGTTGATACTATAATTCCTCCTGATTCACCTTTTACAGTTCAAAATACTATTTATTTCAATTGATTTTACTTTATCTGTTGTCATGAAATTAACTTCATTGCAATCAATCATTCTAATTACTAAACATAAATGTTTATGTTTATTTTACATTTTGAAATAGTCTTTATTATTTTCCAGACTCCACACAAAAGATTATTACCCTGGAAAGGTCAATAAATATGGCATGCAGAAAGGTTGACAGAGCGATAGCCAGGAAAATAATTGATAGTATCGATAACTTTCTGTTCGATTGTGATGGTAAAACTATTTTTATGCTAATAAAATATCACTTGCGTCTGGATGTAGCTTTGATTTGCATGTGATCCTGTTTATCACATAGCCTCATAGGATAAAACAGCACAACCAGACAAAGTGGGTTTGTCCAAAACAAAATGCAACCAGAGCCTCAGAGGTGACCTAAAGTTGCTAACAATAATGTCAGAGTTATTGCCCTTAAATGATTGATTTTGACCAGTTTAAGCTGTTTTGGGGGGTCTTTTATCTCAAAAATAATGATAGATGAGTAGAAACTGTAAACAGCTAAATTATCTGCAATACAAGATCTTACATTTAAAGGCCAATCTGCCCAAAACGATTAGATAACTATACATGTATGAGTTATTGCCCTTTAATTACAATATTTTACTTAATCTAAACTATTGCACCTATCCCTGAGATAATTTTTGTGATTTTCTTGTATAAATCATGTTTAATCCGTCACATTCTATATGTGCCTGTCCCAAGTCAGGATCCTGTAATTGAGTGTTGTCGTTTTTTGCTGTATCTCACCTTTGTTTTTGTTTTTGTTTTGCAAAGTTTGTGTTGTGGACTGTTGGCGCCTTTAAACATGTTTAACCCAGCCATTATCCTGTATGGCAGCCTGTCCCAAGTCAGAAGCCTGTAATTCAGTGGTTGTCGCTTGTTGCTGTATATCATATTTGTTTTTCGTTTATTTTTTTGTGGATAAATCAGGCTGTTCAAAGTTTTCTCATTGAATTGTTTTACATTTTTCATTTAAGGGCCTTTTGTAGCTCATTATGTGGTATGGGTTTTGCTCATTGTTGAAGGCTCACAGTATGGGTACCTCTAGTTGTTTACTTTATGTCATTTGATCTTTGGTGGAGAGTCCTTTCATTGGCAATCATACCATATCTTCTTATTTTTATATTCAATATAACAAAAGTTTATTGTCAAAATTTTATTACATACATGTATGATGAAATTATTGTACTGGCTACGTGGTGCAAAGAAAAATATCCTTTGTATCATGTTTATTATCTCAAAAACATTAATCAATAAGTACAAACTGTAAATAAACAACAAAAATAATCAGCAATAATTATAAGATCTACATAAGTAACTGAAACCATTGGAAAGATTTTTCATGTTTTTATAGGAGTCTGTGCCATTAAATGATGATTTTGACTAATTTTTTAGTTTTGTCTTATCTTGAAAACTATATAATCCTAGTTTAATGCAGAAATAGTCTTGCTGTTTACATGTAGCACTAATTTATTTTTGTTAGATGTTGATTTTATTGTTATGATGATGCTATCACTGAAGTACGTACCCTACACCTAAAAGTCCTGTATATGGTTTTTTTTCCACAGGTTATCAACTTCTTTTGAAATTCCTGAATATGTAAAACTATTTTAACAGATTATAATTTTGGGGGGTAAAACAGATAAAAAGGTCCAATAAAAGTATACTTTGTTTGCAAAAATTGGTATGAAAATGGTATAAATAATCATCCATATTATATTATAAACCATATTTGGATTATTTTCCCTAAAAAGACCAGGACGAATGTTACTAGACTAAAGCATTACATTGTCTTTACTTCAGTAAACTTCAAATCACTTTGTCAAACATCAGAAAGAGCATAAAACAGTAACTTTTTGCAGTATAAAGTCAACATACTAATTACATAGTTATTGTATTTTGGTTTTATCCATGCAATATCAAAAATATCCTAGCTACACCATGTACACTGTTGTGTAGTACCCACAAGCTAATTTTTTTTTATATTTCTTATATGATGATAAATATACATATAAACGTGTTTGGATTTAAGATTTAAATTCCTTATTTCACAGGCATGTAACTGTGTATTTAAACATCCTGCCAAGACACCCTTTTGGGCAAAGAGGTTTTTGATCTGCCCCTATGCATTTATTTCATGTCCAATCACCAGCAATCACCCGGTTTCATTGTAAATCACACTACACCTGAGCCAGAGAAACAGCAATATTGTTCCAGTGAGATGCAGGATGAGAACTGATCAATGAGTTCTAGCTCAGCTTTTCTTGATGACCTTCATCAGGAACACTCAAGCTACATCGTAGTTACATGTAATAGGTTCAGTGCCTATAGGTATTTTTACAAATGAATTCTTTTTTAGGGGTTTTATGGGAAGCAAGCAAAGAAATACCCGGTAGTGCTGATACTGTTGCTGCTCTAAGGAAGTTGGTATGTATATATATTTATCTTACCTCCTATACATTTCTAGGAATATGATTGGTTAAAAGCGTCCGCGTGGAGACCGTGTATATTCCATATTAGGTTAGTAGGGACTCGGGAGGCGGGGCTTATTTCATACACGGTTAGTAGTGGTGTTACGTCCCTTTATAAAAACAAAACAGTACTAAAAAAAAATCTTAAAGGTTTCAACAGACGAAGAAATTGATGATGAAAATTGAAATAAATTCATAAAACACATTTAAACCTAACAAGTTGTTATTGTTGGCATCTGTTTTTGTAGGATCAATATATATTGGAAGTAGTTTCTTAATGCTAATGGTATTGAAGACTTGCTCATTTTGATAGGTCACTAGTCTAAATTTCACACGTTAAGATAGTCGGTAAGATAAATTCGTTACATAGTGTGCTAGTGACGTAATACGGTATATATGGGGTCAGTAAATTCCATATGGGGATTCAAGCTTCGCTCTCACCCCATATGGAATTTACTGACCCCATATATACCGTATTAGGTCACTAGCACACTATGTAACTAATAATACATGTATCTGGCTCTAAGGAAGTTGTTATGTATATACATGTATTTGTTGTCATTGTGTGTTTAATTTGGAGTTACTGGTACTGTATGAAGCTGATGCTAGGACAATGTGCAATAAGATGATAACAAATTCCTGTGATAAAGATAGATGTAAATTACTGTCATTGATATTGATAGCACTATATTTGAAATGTGATATTCTGACAACCATTGACAACAGATAAAACAGTAAGAAGTTACATCCAGGCAATCAATAGCAGAAAACCAGAAAACAAAATGACAAAAGGCAAAAGAACATGAAAACAACAGTCTTTAATACACTATACAGAAAAATAAGGATCAACACAAATGCACACAAAAACAGGGGTAATTTCTGATGCTCTGAAAGGATCACAACTAGTGACACAGGTTTTTTAGTATTGTTCCTTACCATGTGCAAATGGTCAGCAACTACCAAATCAAAGCTTTGTATTTTGAATTTCATTGAAGGAATTGAAAAAAACTTGATGACTTTGCTTGTTGGCCCAATATGCATATTATGAATTACTTTGCATATCTGCAGACAGATCGTATTTTCTATTGGACTTACCATACAAGAACACTATCATTCACATGTATAAATAGTAATTCACTCAACACCAACAAGAGTGATTTTAAACTGAATCACATAGTGTGTTTTGTTTTGAACTTGTATTGCTGTCAGTGATTGTCATTAACACAAGGGGCCTCGGTGGTCTAGTGGTATAATTAGTTCCTCTACTGTAGCACTAGCCTGTCAACACCGAGGTTGTGAGTTCTACTATCTTAATTGACCCTCCAGGCACTCTGGCTTCCTCCAACAATAAAAACTGGCAGCCAATAGTGCTGAAAGTGGCGTTAAACACCAATAACCAATCAATTATCAAATCGTGTTAGGTATCATGTGAATGAATAATACTCCTGTGACTCTCTGTTGTAAGAAATGTTATTTTTCTGTCATTTCAGGGAAAGAAGATATTTTACATTACAAATAACAGTGGTAAAACCAGAAGCCAATATGTGCAAAAATGTAAAAGTTTAGGGTTCCATGCTGCTGAGGTAAATTATATCAGAATTTGTACATGTTTATTTAGTGAAATTTCAGTTGACTGTCACAATTAAATTTTTTCCATGGAAAAAGATTTTAAAAAAGTGTCATCTAAATTCCAGCAGCTGATTTTAATCTTAATAAAAGTGTCCCTTTGTACGAGTTTCAGTAACATGTAGTTTTCCAATAGAAGGATTGCCTTAATTTTAAAATCTTTCTGAAAAGTCCATGAAAAGGGCACAGATATCCATAGCTCCCAGTCTGGTAAGGACTGGAATTATAAAAAAAATTCTCTAATATAAAAAAAAAAGATGTTGAATGGTTGCCAATGAGACAACTCTCCACCAGAGACCAATTGACGTAGAAGTTAGCAGCTACTGAGGCTATATGTCACTCTAAGACTTATTTACAATATACAAGTCCATATAAGAATTTCTGTTTTTTACAGGAGGAGACTATATCTCTGATATATGTTTACCTGAACTCATCAGGATTAAGTCTGCTGTCTTAATTAAACTTCATTGGTAGTTGAGTTGGATAGTTTTTGGTATAAAATGTTTTGGGATAGAGGTATTTAACAAGAGCCTGTTTTTGCTCTGGGATCAATGTGAATCTTCAACATTTTCCAAAATCCAACATTTAGACTAATACTGTTACTTTAATTATTCATCCCTTATTTTATTGATTTTGTATTTACATTGTTTCATAGATCAAATTTATTCGTTCAGTGTATGTTCACTTGTGTTAATATGTCTTTTGATTGAGTTAAGCCATTTCAATTTCAAGGGGGTTAAAAAAAATTTATAAGTTCTTAGACCACATTCATTCTGTGTCAGAAACCTATGCTGTGTCAAATATTTAATCACAATCCAAATTCAGTGCTGTATAAAGCTTGAATGTTGTGTCCATACTTGCCCCAACTGTTCAGGGTTCGACTTCTGCGGTTGTATCAAGCTGCCCCCAGAGGAGCATTTTATTTTATATCTATAAAGTTTCTGACTATAACAGTTTCAAGATAAGAGACAAAAGAAAAGGCTTTTAAAAAAAAATCATTTTCATTTAAGACAATGACTCCTAAAAGGTGTCTGTCGTGTCATCTGGCATTTTTGGTCTAAAAGAACAGTATAATGATCTTTACATTCTAATTATTTTCCCCCTGTCAGTTTTCTCTTTCAATAACAGTGTTCAAAGTAATAGACAGTACATGTATTTGACCCCTATGTTTTATTTACAGCCATATTGGCTGTCTGGCGGGATCATCCGATATACATTTTATACTAGAAACCCCAAAGATGGTTGTGGCTAACTTTGGTTTCATTTGGCCCAGCAGTAATAGAGGAGGAGATTTTTGTAAAAGATAACAGAAGATAATGACACAAATCAAGTGATAAAAAAAGTTCACTTGGCTCTGTGGGCCAGGTGAGCTAAAAATAGAATTTGTTTTTGTACAGTACCCTAACATAAATATCATTGGGGATAGTTCTGATATATTCACATATTGCAATGAAATTCACAATGTACAAAGCCCAGGTGACATTTAAAAATATATATATATACATGTATTATATTGATTTTCATCTCCATTTGTCCTGACAGCATGGACATTTCATTTATTTTTTTCTGAAATAAGCCTATGGAAATTTTTTGATGTCCAGAAACTTTAAATTTATCTAGACTACTGGTCAATATTATTTTCACCATCATCAGAGTTGTATCCAATTAAGGAAGGTAGACCAACAATGTTGATGATAACCATGATTGCCACTACACCTTTTGAACATTAGAAATCAGAAAAATAATTTATGCTGAAGTTAAACAAATGAAAATTAAAATGAAAAGTAGGAAATAAAATCTACCACATTGTTGCTTAGGTGACAGAAATTCTACTTCTTCCCTATATGCACAAATCTAGAAATTATAAAATGTTAATGTTATATAATTCAGGAGGATGTAATATGTACCGGTCATGCTGCTGCTCAATATATCAAAGCTCAGAATCTACAAGGTAAAGTCTACTGTGTTGGTAATGCGTCCATGGGAGTGGAGTTAGATAGCTTTGGTATCAAACATTTTGGAATAGGGGTAAGTAAAAATAAAGGATGGATGTTTTCAAATGATCTGTAACATTTTAATTTAGATACAATATTTTGAAAAATAATGTATCAGAGGTCATTCAAAAGGAGGTATTCCTAATTTTCACTAATATAGAAACCTGTAAACCATGGTAATATAAAAAATATGTTTTATATTTAATGGTTGCATGCAGCTGGATGTTTGATGATTTTGATTGACTGTTGAATGTTCAGCAGCAAATATTACATGCATATTCAGGACAAGATGATAGTGAAATTCACTTATAATATTATTTTATGCTCCCTGAAAAAATTCAGGGGCATTTATGATGTATAAAGTCGTCACTTCATAAAATAAGGGACATAGTCTGTGCTTAGCCATATTGTTTTGAATGATAACTCAAGTATCCAAATATGAGCTGGAACACATTTATAACGGTGAAAATGTAGCTATTAAACTGTTATCCTTCAATAAATGTGCACTTTTGGGAGCATCAGTTAAAATTTAACTTGTTTTATTTATCATTATAGCCTGATGAAGTTCCAGGAACTTTTGAACAAATTGGAATTCCACAACACATTACCCTTGATCCAGAGGTAAGCAAAAACTTATTGCAAATAATATGAAAACAATTTGCTTGAAAAAAGTCCTACAGTCCAATGGCCAGAACCATCAGGCCAGAACAATTGTCTTTTATTTAAAGCATATGAAACTAATTTTAATGCAAATGACAACCAATGTACACTAGCTCACTTGACCCAAAGCTTTGTCAAACACTGTGCACTACAGCTGAAACAATAAAATATGCATATTATGTAATTTCCAGATTTTTTGTTTGTGATGGTGGGTTGCTGTCACATTTTACATTGTACACCTCTCTGTATTCCTATTACACAGTAAATTAATCAGATGATCACATACTATAAATTCATAAATGTTTGCGATGTTTTTATTATTGCAAAAATTGCAACTGGATAGGTTTTGCAAAAATAAAACTTGCATTTCAAATTTTGATAAAGCATTATTTGCATGCAACATTTCCTGAAACCACAATAATTAAGATCTCATGTTCATCCTGGCACAACAATCACAATGAAACATGAACACAAATATTTCAGAATTTACAGTTTTTTTTTTTTAAAGATTGTTGTGCACATGGAAATCATATATCATATCAAAATGCCCCATCTCAGGTGAAGGCTTGTTGATCTATTTACAGGTGAGCTGTGTGCTTGTTGGATTTGATCCACATATAAATTACATGAAGATGACAAAAGCCGCTAGCTATATAAGAAAGAATGGAACATTGTTTGTAGCCACAAATGAGGACACACATTTACCGTTAGCTGGAGATCTAGTTGTACCTGGTGAGTAAGGACTGTAAAAAGGACCAGTAAGGAGTCCCCATATTATCACAAAATATGTATGATTGAAAATAAGATGATGGAATACAGATTTCAATTTTTTTTTTTTTTTACAATTTACAAATTATTAAAAGGTTAGAAGCATTTAGTAAAAAAAAACAGAGTTATTAGTTCTCATTAAGGTTTTGATTTACACATTATTAAAAGATTAGAACAATGTTATTATAGTAAACCAAGAATCAATAAGTTTTCAATGTCCATATACAATAAACATAGAGAGGTCTTTTTTTACTTTTTTTATTTCCAACCTATAAGATTTATTTTGACAACTTTAACTAATTTTGTACATATTTTGATATGATATTTGCTTTTATAGTCTAATCTGGATTTCAAATATTAAGCTTTCAAGCCTTTTATTCAGTTTTATGTGGATTTCAATGTTAAACAGCCCCAATCTGACATGGACTCAATAAAACAATCATATTGGTACCTGCATTCAGACTCCATAAGAAGGCTTCTTAGTCCAATATGATTTGAGATGATACCAGGGTTATTATAAAGGTGACACACAATTAGATAACTGCTGATATCTTGATATAAATTATGAAAAAGCAAAATGACCAGCAATTGATACTTAGGACTCAGTGCTTAAATTTATTAACAACTTTTTAAGACTCGGTGTGATTTACAGCTTGGCGTAATGTATATTTACACACTTGTCTATATTGGAGAAATCTAGATGTCTTTTGGTTTTGTGATTTGTGTTTGATTGATTTTTTGTCTCATTGATATAGACCCCACACATGAAGGTAAATTATCTCTGAGAACAGCATATACCAAACAAATAACACTAATCATTACTAACTTGAATAACTGTTCTTAGGTACTGGTGCTGTAGTAGGTGCCATTAAAATACCTGCAAGAAAGGAACCAGTTGTGGTGGGAAAACCAAACTCTGTCATGTTTGATCTTCTGAAAAAAGAACATAACCTTGACCCTGCAAGATGTATGATGGTAGGAGATAGGTAAGTAGCTCTTGTCATAGTAACTTAAGTTGTACATTGCCTTCTTAAGAAAGATATAACCTTGTCCTGGTATGTCATGGTAAATGATGTTTCGACATGAATGATTTGGAAAACTCCTTCTCTTATGATTGAATATTTGGATTCTCTTAATTCAGGCAGTGGTCATTTTTATTCTTTTCTAATTTTTTAAGCCAAATTCCTTTTAAAAGAAAGATGTTGAAAAAAAGTTTGAAATTGAAACTTTAATAACAAATAAACATATATTTTATTTTATTTTATTTTAATAAATATTCAAGTGTGCAAGATATTTACATAAGTTGCAATTTCTCTTTTTAATGAGACCAGTTGCAATTGTTGACAAAAAAAGTTGCAATCTCAATTGTGACGTGACAAAGATTTTCCTGGATTTTTATACTCCCAATCTAAAAGTTGGAGCTACATTGCAATCATCTTGTCCGTCCAGCCATTTTTCCGTTTGTTTCTCCAACAAATATTTTCGTCACACTTTTCTCATAAAATTACTAATTTTTGGAATGACTTCATGTGTGGTCAGCAGCTCAACAGTGATGAGTTGTAATATGCACTTTTCCAATCAATCAGATACCTTTAATCTTCCGGTTTGCGGATACTTTGAATTTTTCAATATGTTGAATGAACTTAAAAAAATTTCTTCACATTTTTCATAAAAGTTACTATACAGAATGTCTTCATATTTGGTCAGCTTCTCAATAGTAATGAGTTGTTATGTGTGTCTGACACCTACTTCCTGTTTTCCAATACTTTGCATTACAAGTGGGGGTATGCTTAGCATAACAAAACATGCATTCTTGTTTTTTTTTAATCCTTTATTACCAACCAAACAACATTAATAGTTATCAAACTAACTTTCAAAATACTGACAAATAAAAGAATTTCTTACTGTTAAATATATATTTTCCTACTCCTCTGTGCCATACAAAAAATCATCCATAGTGTAATATTTTAAGATCATAGTGTAAAACACCAGATAAATGTATGAAGTTTTGATGTAAAATAAGAAATAGTTTAGTTTAAAGACTAACCCAACTAACTAACTACTAAATCATTTCAAAGAATGAATAAACAGATATTTAGTGAACATATATCTGCTTTCAGTTGCCACACAGATATTTATGTGGCACAGAAGTGTGGCATGTCAAGTCTCCTTGTATTGACAGGAGTGTCTTCTTTGGAGGATGTTCAGAGATACAAAGACCAGTCTGATCCTGATTCCAAGTTCAATATACCCAACTTTTACTGTACAGATCTGAATGAATTTGGCCAACTGATATAAACAGAATGACTTTTTTGTGCAATGTCTTTTTATTTAAGTATTTTTAGAGTTACCGCCCATTTTAAGCAGCTTTTTCATTTATTTAGTGCAAAATATTTTTACATTTTACTATTTTTTTTATACTTTATATATTTATACTTATATATATTGTTATATATAAACACTTGAAATACTTTTATCAGATAGTGAAGAGAGCTTGTTATTTATACTTATATATATTGTTATATATAAACACTTGAAATACTTTTATCAGATAGTCAAGAGAGCTTGTTAAGGTGCTGTTGTATTTTGTTCAGTCCTCACTTGCCAGGGATCATACAAAACATTAAATAAACCTCATACATGTATATGCAATAATTTTGTAATAATTTACCTCAATTGATTAAATAATCATTTTTTTCAATTTACAGTTAAATTCAAGTCCTCAAACCTATGATATGTATACATGTTATTTATTTTGTAATCTTCTAATTGTGACTTGACATAGAAGATCTATACTCTTATAGGGAAGATAACTCTTGCAAAGAAAAAGAGTTGTAATAAATTGAGCAATAACTATGGTAAGAGATTTGTTCAAAATTAACCAATGTATAATAAATCAAATTAAAAAAATTTAACTTTCAAAACTTTGCCTTCATAAGTACATATATCTTTTGAACAGTCATGTATTTTAACTGTTTAAATGATAGTCTGTAATATTGCAAAAAAGTTGTTTGTTAGTTAACTTTCGACTTCTGTCTGATCAATGTTTGATATTTTACCATTTACAGAAGTGATACTGATATACATATGGCCAATCTATGTGGTATGGACTCGTTAATGGTGTTCAGTGGTGATATTACCTTTGAAAGATTACAGGATCTCCAGAATTCAGCTGATACAGAAGACAAGAAACTTAACATACCTAAATACTATTGTGATAAATTAGGTGATCTAGGAAATTTTATACAACAGTTTATATAGGATTCATAGGTTTTACAATAATTTTATTATTTATATTGTTCAGACCAACAAAAACCACAAGTACTGAATGTTCATTATAATCTAAACTAACCTTTAAATTACTGTAAACTGGTTTATTTTTGCAGAATTTGAATTTAGCAATTTCTACAGTCAAACTGGTTTGTAAGGCTTTTTTAACCTGTTTTCTTGTCTGTGAACCCTTTAAGATCATAACTGTGCAAGGGGATATTTTTGTGATTTTACCTTGCTCAATGAGCTGTAATAAACCACATATGAAAATTTCCCAAACATCTATAATATTAAGTCTTTCAGTCAATTTTCAGATAATATCCAATGCAATCAATCCAATGCTGTTCCTCTGTGGTCAATCAAGACTTGTTTAATCAATTTTCAGAGCTTTCAGTATATATTTGATTTTCTATACCACTGCTATAGAAGGAATATTTAATTGCATGAAAAGTGGCTGAACAGATTTGATTGAATACAAGCTAAATGTCTTAACACTACTGAGTTTTCCACAAGTAGAATATTAAAATAATACCTTAAATCTTAACAAGAGTTGATATTTTTTATGTTCAGACATTTCAAATGATGTTCAGAAAGAAATAGACAGTTTAAACAAATGAAAGTATGACTGTTTGGAGATTCAGTCTATCAAACAAGGAAATGTTTTCTTATTTTCCAGAATCTTTTTACATTGATAAAAGAACAGAGTTCCAATGTCCCCTTCGTTGCACATATTTTATCTATCCAAGGTATATGGGCAATTACTAAAAAATCTTTTTTTTGTTCTTTAAAATTTTTTATAAATATCTTAGAGAAATGAAGGCTTCAGAGCAAATGCAATGCGATTTCCGTTATAATTAATATTTCTAAGAATTGTACACTTGAGAGCGCTAACAATACAATTTTCCATATAATCAATATTTCCAAGGGACATAACTCTTTTAAAAATAATTGATCAGCACTGATTTTCGAATTTGTCCGAGACATTGATGATATAAACCTATAATATAAGTTTCATAAAATTTTGGCAAGAATTGTACACATGAGAGCACTAACAATGCAGTTTTCCATATAATTAATATTTCCAAGGGCATAACTCTTTTAAAAATAATTGATCGGCACTGATTTTGGAACTCGTCCAAGACATTGCTGATATAAACCTATGATATCAGTTAAATAAAAATCTGGCAAGAATTGTACAAATGAGAGTGCTAAGGATGCAATTTTCAATATAATTTATGTTTCCAAGGGGCACAACTCTTTTTAAAAATAATTGATTGGCACTGATTTTCAAACTTGTCCAAGACATTGCTGATATATTAGGGGAATTTGATAATTTTGGTTTTGATTTTTCTGACAGACTTTAATGCTATAAAATCAAAAACATCAGGTTTGTCAACAGAAATGGGATGCAAAATTGATGAAATATGTTATATTATTTCTGTCTTATTTTAACCTCTACTTTAATTCTAAAATGTATTTATGAGTTACAAAATAATAATTTATATCTGGATAATTTACAAGTTTATTAACCCAAATTTTGAATATATCTTGATGTGGAGTTATGTGCCTTCTGGATCTCAGCAAATTAAATATTCATATTATTAATACATATAGTACAAGTATATAATGTTTTACAGTATATTATGATTTGTTACATATTTTTTCAATAAATATAGATATCCTTTAGTTTTTGAACTGATTAATTTATCTCAAATTAACATAGTGTGTTTCATAACAGAACATGTGCAATCAATTTTTGAATGCCACAACCATAAAGTAATGACATTGCATCACAATTTGTCTACCTATTAAAGTGATTACAATAAGCGGGAGATTATGTCTTACACTGGTCCGCCTGTCCTTTATTTATTTAACTATAACAGGTATAAGGATCAGGTATTCACCATCTACTTCCTCCATTGCTGTTAATCAACATGGATAAAAGCCTTCAAATTAGCAAAAGTCATTACAAAGTGATGTGGTTGGTCAAAAGCTATTTCTTAGATGACATCAGTTCTAAATGGAATTTCTATGGAATCTGTGCACAGAATGCATGGGAAAATGTTTGTGTCAGAATAAGATGCAAACAAGTGGCTGCTGAAGACTTAACCTTTCATTAGAGGTTACAAGATGATCAGGGAGAGAACCAGACAATAAACACAGACAGCGGTACAATCGTGATTAACAAAACAATAAACACAGACAGCGATACAATCGTGATAAATAAGACAATAAACACAGACAGCGGTACAATCGTGATTAACAAAACAATAAACACAGACAGTGGTACAATTGTGATTAACAAAACAATAAACACAGACAGCGGTACAATCGTGATAAACAAAACAATAACATTAGTGGCAAGGTTCCGGTGCAAAAAATAGTTGACATGCATTTTGTAGCCGGACACATGGACACAACCGGATAAATTATAAATATTGAATATACTAATTCAGTTTAAAGGCTTAATTTAATACAAATGACGGTGTTCTAATGTAAAATGCCACAAATGTAAATTTTAATTAAATACAATTTTCTGGAACACAAATTATACTGTAAATTCGTATTGGCATGCGTAGGCACCGGACACATCCATCTAGAACACCAATACCAATATTTAATATTCAAATAGTTCCAGTGTAATGCTGTGTGTTATTTAAGAAATAGACATAATTAATTGTCTATACAATTTTACACCCTTAAAGGACACTTGCTGTGACAAAACTCCTGCAACTTTTATTGTATTGTACTTTCAATATTCGCATTGAGCAGGCGCAGGCAAAATCGATTGTTATATATAGTAATCCAGCGTACATCCAAATGTGTAGAGCCGATTTTAACTTGGGGCCTACTATAAATAATAAAATCAAATGGCAATACAACTATATCAAAGTAAGAAGATATATATTCCTTGATAATTATCAGATGTAGGCTTATCAGACTTTTCTTCCCTGATCTTCCTGATTCGCAGTTGGAGCTTTGCGTGTATATAGCCTTTGATTTTCATATAGTGTGAACAATGTATTTCTTCCACTGATGTCTTCCTATTTTTCTTACGCATTCCCAATATTTATATGTGTTTATGCCTTAAAGATGAAATCATATTCATTTGGATATGGTTCAGTATAACAGGAACATATATATTGATATACTGTTCCCAGAGTATAAGTTTACGGAGCTGTACGTCAAACTGAATTAAATTGTCTAGTCAGTTATGACATACAATTATCCATGACTTGAGTTTGAGCAGGTAGATGTTTCTTTGAGTTTATATCCTAAAAGGATTCACCACACGCACTGTTTAGGTTTTATTGTCCATAGATTATTGAAAACACAAAAGGGGTCCGAAAAAGGTAAATTGTTTGATCCTTAATTTCTGGAAAATAACTTAATTTATACAGGGAAGTGAAAAAAAATAGTTTGTTTCCCTTGAAAATTATGATAAAATAAATAAAACATTTAGTTTTAAAATAAATCGTGTTCCTGTCGATATTTGATATTGAAGAAAATAGTTTTTATTCTAAATTGATTTGCATTAATATAACTGAGAAATTCACTGCATTTTGTGCTTAATCTATTGGGTTCTTAGGCTTAAGAATTGCGTTAATTAAACATGAAACTGGTTTTGCCAACTACTGGTATCAATTTGTTAAACAAAAAAATATGTAATGGATTTCCACTTTTTTAGAGAAAATTGTAGAAATGTATATAAATTTAGAATTATATGCCCAAAATACAGCCTCGAAAATTTTCCATTTCAAGTTTTCATCCAAATCTACAATGCTGACTTTCTATCTGAAATGTTTTAATGTTCTGATATCATATTTATGTGTCTAGGCTGGTGTCAAGTTTTATTGATCATTCGTGAAGTCCAGAGAAAAGTAGATTAACATTGAGAAAAATGTATTCATGGTCCAGGTTCTGGTGTTTTTAAAGTTATTCAAATGTGAGGTGCTTAATTTACATAAAAAGATGAAGATGATGTGTCCAGCTGTGTCCGCCTGTAGCCAGCAGATTAAATAAGTTTTATATAGATATTACATAGGTTGTGTCCACTTGTGTCCGCCTGTAGTCACTAGTTTTTATATGTTTTATATAGAAATAGCACTGTGTCCTGCTGTGTCCGCCTGTAGCCAGCAGATTCTCTAAGTTTTATATAGATATTACGTTGTGTCCACTTGTGTCCGTCTGTAGTCAATAGTTTTTATATGTTTTATATAGAAATAACGTTGTGTCCAGCTGTGTCCGCCTGAACCCTAAGTTTTATATAAGAAATAGCACTGGGTAACTGTATCCACTCTTATTGATTGTTTATAAATAGATATAACGCTGTTTATATTTGTACTCGTCTTGAAGCCATACATACGTATCCATGTATCCCCAGACACAAAATGCATGCTAACTATATTTTGCACCGAAAAATAGGACATACCTATATGAAATGTCTGGCCTGCTTTAAAAATACTATTTATAATTTATTTTATGCTGATAGTTTTGGGTCATGTTCAGATAAACCAAGCCAGAAAGACACCTTACAATCATTACAAACACCCGGCGGGGAGGGAGTGTTACTTCCTATATTTTTAGAGGTACGCGTGTGGATCGAGCAAAACAGGGTCGCTTTTTCATGCCCTGTTGGTTAGAACAGGGTCCCTTTTCATGCCCTGCTGGTTAGAACAGGGTCCCTTTTCATGTCCTGCTGATTAGAACGGTCGCTTTTTCATGCCTTCCTGGTGAGAACAGGCTTTTACAGGGCCTTTTTTTAAACAAGGTATTTGTCTAGACCAGGATCGCTTATTTAACTGTTTAAGATACAGTCTAGAACCCCGGGTCTAGAACAGCATCTATTCTACATTTTCTTGAGCGTGTCTAGAACAGGGTATGTTTTTCAATATTTCTGTTTAGAACAGGGTATATTTTTCAATGTTTTCTGGTTAGAACAGGGTATGATTTGGCAAGTGCTGTCGGTACAGTTATACCAGAAAGGATAGTCAGTAACCCCACCCGGGCAAACACCAAATATAGTTGACCTACTGCTTATATAGTATACAAGAAACAGACCAATTAATATATATAATTAAATCATGAATACTAGACATCGATAAAAGAACCACGAAAATGAGGAAATCTGCCAGATATGTACACCTTACAATCATTCCCTACATAATTTACACCGATGCATAGGAACTATTGTTTTAAATATGTACTACTTTCCAGTATGTTCATTTTTTTTAACCGGGCCCGATTGGAATGCATCTTGCAATGTATTCCACTCAAACCGCTGCTAGGTGTTATCTTAAACTTGCAGTGCAAGTGAGGCAATTTGTGTTTGCTCTATGTTGAAGGCCTCACTGTGACTGAGATAACGAAACACAATTAAAGCTCTCTTCCTTAAGACTTTCCCAGATTAGGGGAAGGTTGAGCCCTTGTTAAACCCTGCCACTTTCTTTAAGTGCCTGTGACGAAGTCAGGAACCTGTAGTTCTATGGCTGTTGTTGGTTCATGTCTCATATTTGTTTTTCACAAATAGTTTTGTTATAAATTACGTCGTTTGAATTGTTTCATATTTTTCATGTCAGGGCCTTTTAAAGCAGACTACACGGTATGGGTTTTTCTCACTGCTGAAGGCTGTACTATTGCCTATAATGCTTACACCCACTTCATTTGAACTTTAGTTGATAGTTGTCTCATTGACAATCATACCATCTCTCCTTATTTTCATATTAACCAGGAAAACTTAACATTCAGACAAAGAAAATGAGGTCAAGGTCAGATAAAACCTGCCAGACTGACATGTACACCTTACAATCTTTCCATACACCAAATAAAGTTGAACTTCTGCTTACAGTATCTGGGAAGCAGACCAAAATATGTGACTTTCACCTTGATCAATGAGGTTGAGGTCAGGTGAACCCTGTCTGAAGAACATATAGACATTGCAATGACCCATATCAAATCCTATTACTCATCATTGAGAAATTCAAATAAAAAAAAATCTTTTTTTAAGCAGTTGCTGAACCATGAAAATAAAATCAAGGACAACAGACATGTGACAGACGGAAACTTCCAAACATATGGCATCTGTCTGTATTAATGGTATGATTAAATCCTCCAAGCCTATCAATTTCTGAAATATAAAGCTTAATACAAATAACTTCTGCCACCGCCAGATCCCAATGTCTTGCATTCTGAAGTTTTTGTGGCATGTGAGACAAAAACATTTAATACAAATATCCTTAATAACAGAGAATAACCAGAAAAATTTGCATCACATATTATTTTAATACTGAATGGAATTCAAATGTTAAAAGTTAAGAGTTAACAAAGACATTCAAAATCACAATATTGCAGAATTTAAGACACTGTTATACACAGTATAAATATATACCGAGATGATAGGTTTTATCTCAAAACATCTAAAATTGAAAGAATTCTACTTCCATTTAAACATTCAAACTTTAAGGCCATTTAAGATTTCAAAATATACCCACTTTTTACACCACCCTTAATGTTTATTATCTAGAACTCTATTTACAATTTTTTTTTTTTTACAGAGCTCTAGATAATAAAAATATTGGATGTCTGAGGTTAGAGGTATAAGCAAAGACAATTAAATTAAGAATATTGCAAATTAATGACACTTTTAGAGTGTAATAAATGGAGAAGAATAGGTTTTGTCTCCAAATATCTAAAATCAAAACAATTGTACGTCCAATTAAACATTCTGACTTTAAAGTTTTAAATTTCATAAATACATTGGTGAAAAAAAGAAAATTTAAAATATGCCCACTTTTTACACCACCCTTAATGTTTATTATCTAGAACTGTTTAAATTTTGTTTTCATATTATTTTTTACATTTTTTTTAAACAGAGCTCTAGATAATAAAAATATCAGATGTCTAAGGTTAGACACATCAACACAAGCCATGAGTTTGGTTGAAGACAAATTTACCGGTTGCAATAATTGTTCTATTTTTTTCCCCACTCATAATCATAAGTGTTCTCCCTCTCCCACTCTGACCATTCTACATCTTTCTCTCTCTCCCACTGACCATATACAATTATTAAATTTCAGTCATATATTTTCATTGCCAAGAATATTTTGTCTCTGAAGTGTTCATTGTTCAACTATGCTGATAATCTGTTAAGCTTGTTATAAGTTCATCAGTTGAGTCAGTTAGAGACCTAACCTCTGAGATGGTGATGAAGCAGCTGTTATGTTGATTATTGCTCTTGTTAATTTCAAAGTGTTGATAGTTTCGTCTACCCTTTACTCTATGAGTTAATCTTTCTCTTTCCTTATTGTATGTGGTCTGTTTTTACACTTTACTCTATGAGTTAATCTTTCTCTTTTCTTATTCTAGGTGGTCTGTTTTTCTTATGTATACCTTTCAGATGTTTCCAAGTTCATCAGTTCAAAGTTCATCAGTTCAACTGTTCCTCCTCACTACAAACAACAATTTAATTAGTTAATTCAATTGGATAACAAAAATTTTAAAAGAATATGGGAACAGCACTTGAATTTTGAACAAAAAAGTTTTACAGCAATAATGGAGAGCAGTTTAGTACTATTCTGAAAACTTAATGTCACTACCATAGAAATATTTTCCCTGATTTAGGTCCCTCAAGTAGGCTTAGATTAAAAATTCTCAAAACAGCGTCGTTTTGTTCTAATTTCAGATATGCATACAAAAAAGTGAGGTATACGGACAAAAACTAAAAATAACCAAAATACATTGACAATTATTTCATTCTTTTGACGTCTGATAATCTTTTCATAAAATTTTCCTATTTGGTCTCTTTATTTAATACAGCTGATACCTCCAGTTGGAGTCATGTTACCATTATTGCACATATAATGTTCAAGTTGACCATTGGGGTCATCTTGACATTGTTATTAAGTATAAACATTTCAGTTCATAGGTGAATACTCTACAGCAACTGTAGATGAAGAACAACAATAAAAGTAGTTACTTTAATCAACTGGTTATTTCCAGTACATCATGTTCATAAGTTGACTGAGTGAAACAGTTTTTAAGCAGCTCTGTCACATTGCCAACCGAGAAAGATATATTTGTAAACTTCCACATCATTTGGTCTCTGGTGGAGAGTTGTCTCATCGGCAATCAAACCATATCTTCTTTTTATTAGAACATTGTGACATCAGATGGACAGATAATTAATTCGCTAAGGAAGTAAGAATACCAACCTTGTATGAGGTGAGATCCTGCTCCTATGTTTTACTCTCATCAAATAATTCTGCTGGTATGATACTTGTAGCACGATTTGTCGTACATCTGAAACACAGAAAATATGTCTTAGTATTTTGTATCATCTGCATGAACAATATTTATTTATACTTTATACCTTTAAGAATTTTACAGTATTCTGAAAACATTGAGAATACCCTTACAATATTAGAAACAACTTGAGCATATTATTTGGTCTAATACATCACACATTTACCCCAGTAGTACTTTTTTATCAATCCGATCAAATTTGCAAAACAGAATGACAGAATTACAAGAAACTACTAGGTATTTTGAAAATTGACTTTTTTTTGTTTTGAATATTATTATTAATCCGATCAAACTTGAAAAACAGATTGACACAATTTCAAGAAATTACTAGGTATTTTGAAAATATTTTTTGTTTGTTTTGAATATTAAAAGCATATGCTGGCTTCTATTAGAGTGTTGCACAATGGTTCCAATTCCATATTAATTCAGGTGATTGTAATTTTCATCACAATCAACTCACCAGATTCCTTAAGGTAAACACTTACCATTAATTTATCAGAATATTCTTCACAAGTCTAATATCAATATTGTGATGGATCCTTGATATGAGATGTCCAGCATAAATTTTAAGAATTTCTCCTCTCAGGTTGAACATTGAAATCTGGAATAAAAATAATTCATTTTTATGAATTGGCAGTCACATACTTCACATAAAATAATCATTTAAATCAAAACTATTTAATTAAGATTTTTGTATGTTTTTTTTTTTTCAATTTTATAATAAGAAGATAATCAAACTAATTGATTTCATTTGGTCATGCACTGCTATATAGATTTATCCATTGTCAATCCTACCACATCATCTTAATGTCATAGCTAATATGACATTACTGTTAAATACATTTTTTTTCCCTTTTCTATCAATATTATCTATGGCTGTTATTACCCTCCATCAGTGTTATTCAATAAATGATTGTAACAAGATTCTCATTTTGCAAAGAATTCCCTCAGTTTTAACTTGCAGTAAGATGTATGCTTGGTACAGTTGCTACTTTTAAGCTTTTTTCAAGTGCTCACTTGTATTTTTCTTTCACAATTTGATAAACTATTTCCCCTTGTTAGCATTCAATTATTATTTGTTTACTTTGTTAAAAGTTCTGGCTGATTTTACAAATAACCAACAAATCAAAATAACATGCTGCCTTACAATAGATTCTAATGAAATATTAAGCTATTATTTTAATAGGCATTTTCAATGTTTTCAACTGAGGAAATATCAATGTCTTCATCTAAGGAAATGAATTGTCAAAAGTATTTATTGGCAGTTTTGATATAACTTTTCTTTTCGATACATACTAAGTATCTTATCAAGTCATACAAATTTCATAATTCTTCATGTTCAACAATAAAAAAGAAAACCAGAAAAAATTACAAAACATCATCAAAAATATATTAGCCACTAAAAATTTACCTTCCATAAATTTAAATATTCAAGAAGCATCATAAATCAGGAACAAGAAAATCATAAAATAAATCCACACTAACAGGTTTGGCCTTATAATTCAAAATTTAAATTCTGTGCAAATAATACACTTTTTACAGACTTAAACTATATCAATACCTTGTGTTTTTCTTGAGAAAACGTCAGAATATGTAATGAACTGGAAATCTAATCAACTATGTGTTCTGGATAATTTCATTGCAAAAGGAAACGCTGTCTGTCTTCTGAACACTTCATTGCAACTTAGGAACATCTGTTTGTGCTATAGAACATCTGTCTTCTCTATAGAACATTATGTAGGAACATGTCTTCTCTATAGAACATTATGTAGGAACATGTCTTCACTATAGAACATTATGTAGGAACATGTCTTCACTATAGAACATTATGTAGGAACATGTCTTCACTATAGAACATTATGTAGGAACATGTCTTCTCTATAGAACATTATGTAGGAACATGTCTTCTCTATAGAACATTATGTAGGAACGTGTCTTCACTATAAGACATTAAGTAGGAACATGTCTTCACTATAGAACATTATGTAGGAATACGTCTTCACTATAAGACATTATGTAGGAACATGTCTTCACTATAGAACAATATGTAGGAATATGTCTTCACTATAGAACATCTGTCTTCATTAATGTTATTATACAAGCATATAATTTTATTTTAATAGCTATTTAACTTTTAGCATGAGTGTGCCAGTTGTCTGACTGTACATAATCCACCAATCTCATAGAAAACCTTTTAGTATTTCTGTCTTTCGTCTCTTTAGATATCATTGAAAACTTTTGTTGGATCTTTCTTGATATAAAAAAGTCAGTTTCTACACAGAGCTATATTCTATTGTCCTCAATTGCCATGACAATCATTGAAGACTGAATATAGACATCTCAAATAAACACAGTTCTAAAGTTTCACAATTTTCGAAGACTTCACAATAAACATTTTTACAAATTATACAGTGCACTATTCATAATAATAAACAAAATTTTAAATATGCCTACTTTTTACAACATCCTCAATGTTTATTATCTAGAACTCTGTTTACAAACAATTTTGTTTTCATATTATTTTTTGGTATTTTCTTTTTTTTACAGAGCTCTAAATAATAAAAATATCAGATTTTAAAGGTTAGAGGCAAAGTCATTCTAAATCAGAATATTGCAAAATTTAAATGTTAGTTGATTTTCTCAATTTGTTGGTCCATACAGTAACCTATTTTACATCAACATCATTTGGTCTCTGCCAACTGAGAGGAGGATATGTGATATCTTTAGAAGACTTTAAGGTGGGGGTCATAAAAAATAATACAATAATCCCACCTTTTACACCACCCTCAATGTTTATTATCTAGAACTCTGTTTACAAACAGTTTTGTTTTCATATCATTTTTTGGTATTTTCATTTTTTATATTTTTTTTTTTTATATTTTTTTACAGAGCTCTAGATAATAAAAATATCAGATGTTTAAGGTTACAGGTATTAACAAAGTCATTCTAATTCAGAATATTTGCAAAATTTTAATGTTGATTGATTTTCTCATTGTTGAAGTCCATACAATAACCTATTTTACATCAACATCATTTGGTCTCTGTAGGATAGTAATGTCTCGCATCTCTTCATTTCATAACAAATCAATTTGTAGGTTCTATAAAGTGGGCCGATGACGAAGGTAAGGGAAATTTTGACTGCCAACTGAGAGGAGGATATGTTGGCCAGAAATTAAGCCTTGCAACAGGCCACCTACTGACCCCTCAAAGACTTGTGGCAAGGATTCTTTAACATGCAGAGTGGCACTGTCCCTACACATAGGAACTATATACTTTTTAAATTGCCATTCCAATTTTTTGTTTGTTTTAAAAATGATAACTTTAGAAGACTTTAAGGTGGGGGTCATAAAAAATATTACAATAATCCCACCTTTTACACCACCCTCAATGTTTATTATCTAGAACTCTGTTTACAAACAGTTTTGTTTTCATATCATTTTTTGGTATTTTCATTTTTTATATTTTTTTACAGAGCTCTAGATGATAAAAATATCAGATGTTTAAGGTTACAGGTACATGTATTAACAAAGTCATTCTAATTCAGAATATTGCAAAATTTTAATGTTAGTTGATTTTCTCAATTTGTTGAAGTCCATACAGTAACCTATTTTACATCAACATCATTTGGTCTCTGTAGGATAGTAATGTCTCACATCTCTTCTTTTCATAACAAATCAATTTGTAGGTTCTATAAAGTGGGCCAATGACGAAGGTAAGGGAAATTTTGACTGCCAACTGAGGAGGAGGATATGTTGGCCAGAAATTAAGCCTTGCAACAGGCCAACTTCTGACCCCTCAAAGACTTGTGGCAAGGGTTCTTTAACATGCAGAGTGGCACTGTCCCTACACATAGGAACTATATACTTTTTAAATTGCCATTCCAATTTTTTGTTTGTTTTAAAAATGATAATTTTAGAAGACTTTAAGGCGGGGTCATAAAAAATATTACAATAATCCCACCTTTTACACCACCCTCAATGTTTATTATCTAGAACTCTCTTTACAAACAGTTTTGTTTTCATATCATTTTTTGGTATTTTCATTTTTTATATTTTTTTTTTATATTTTTTTACAGAGCTCTAGATAATAAAAATATCAGATGTTTAAGGTTACAGGTATTAACAAAGTCGTTCTAATTCAGAATATTGCAAAATTTTAATGTTAGTTCATTTTCTCAATTTGTTGAAGTCCATACAGTAACCTATTTTACATCAACATCATTTGGTCTCTGTAGGATAGTAATGTCTCACATCTCTTCTTTTCATAACAAATCAATTTGTAGGTTCTATAAAGTGGGCCAATGACGAAGGTAAGGGAAATTTTGACTGCCAACTGAGAGGTGGATATGTTGGCCAGAAATTAAGCCTTGCAACAGGCCACCTACTGACCCCTCAAAGACTTGTGGCAAGGGTTCTTTAACATGCAGAGTGGCACTGTCCCTACACATAGGAACTATATACTTTTTAAATTGCCATTCCAATTTTTTTTGTTTGTTTTAAAAATGATAACTTTAGAAGACTTTAAGGCGGGGGTCATAAAAAATATTACAATAATCCCACCTTTTACACCACCCTCAATGTTTATTATCTAGAACTCTGTTAACAAACAGTTTTGTTTTCATATCATTATTTTGTATTTTCATTTTTTATATTTTTTTTTTATATTTTTTTACAGAGCTCTGGATAATAAAAATATCAGATGTTTAAGGTTACAGGTATTAACAAAGTCATTCTAATTCAGAATATTGCAAAATTTTAATGTTGGTTGATTTTGTCATTGTTGAAGTCCATACAGTAACCTATTTTACATCAACATCATTTGGTCTCTGTAGGATAGTAATGTCTCACATCTCTTCTTTTCATAACAAATCAATTTGTAGGTTCTATAAAGTGGGTAAGGGAAATTTTGACTGCCAACTGAGAGGAGGATATGTTGGCCAGAAATTAAGCCTTGCAACAGGCCACCTACTGACCCCTCAAAGACTTGTGGCAAGGGTTCTTTAACATGCAGAGTGGCACTGTCCCTACACATAGGAACTATATACTTTTTAAATTGCCATTCCAATTTTTTGTTTGTTTTAAAAATGATAATTTTAGAAAACTTTAAGGCGGGGTCATGAAAAATATTACAATAATCCCACCTTTTACACCACCCTCAATGTTTATTATCTAGAACTCTCTTTACAAACAGTTTTGTTTTCATATCATTTTTTGGTATTTTCATTTTTTATATTTTTTTTATATTTTTTTACAGAGTTTTGTTTTCTTATCATTTTTTGGTATTTTCATTTTTTATATTTTTTTTTTATATTTTTTTACAGAGCTCTAGATAATAAAAATATCAGATGTTTAAGGTTACAGGTATTAGCAAAGTCATTCTAATTCAGAATATTGCAAAATTTTAATGTTGGTTGATTTTCTCATTGTTGAAGTCCATACAGTAACCTATTTTACATCAACATCATTTGGTCTCTGTAGGATAGTAATGTCTCACATCTCTTCTTTTCATAACAAATCAATTTGTAGGTTCTATAAAGTGGGCCGATGATGAAGGTAAGGGAAATTTTGACTGCCAACTGAGAGGAGGATATGTTGGCCAGAAATTAAGCCTTGCAACAGGCCACCTACTGACCCCTCAAAGACTTGTGGCAAGGGTTCTTTAACATGCAGAGTGGCACTGTCCCTACACATAGGAACTATATACTTTTTAAATTGCCATTCCAATTTTTTGTTTGTTTTAAAAATGATAATTTTAGAAGACTTTAAGGCGGGGTCATAAAAAATATTACAATAATCCCACCTTTTACACCACCCTCAATGTTTATTATCTAGAACTCTCTTTACAAACAGTTTTGTTTTCATATCATTTTTTGGTATTTTCATTTTTTATATTTTTTTTTTATATTTTTTTACAGAGCTCTAGATAATAAAAATATCAGATGTTTAAGGTTACAGGTATTAACAAAGTCGTTCTAATTCAGAATATTGCAAAATTTTAATGTTAGTTCATTTTCTCAATTTGTTGAAGTCCATACAGTAACCTATTTTACATCAACATCATTTGGTCTCTGTAGGATAGTTGTCTCACATCTCTTCATTTCATAACAAATCAATTTGTAGGTTCTATAAAGTGGGCCAATGACGAAGGTAAGGGAAATTTTGACTGCCAACTGAGAGGAGGATATGTTGGCCAGAAATTAAGCCTTGCAACAGGCCACCTACTGACCCCTCAAAGACTTGTGGCAAGGGTTCTTTAACATGCAGAGTGGCACTGTCCCTACACATAGGAACTATATACTTTTTAAATTGCCATTCCAATTTTTTTTTGTTTGTTTTAAAAATGATAACTTTAGAAGACTTTAAGGCGGGGGTCATAAAAAATATTACAATAATCCCACCTTTTACACCACCCTCAATGTTTATTATCTAGAACTCTCTTTACAAACAGTTTTGTTTTCATATCATTTTTTGGTATTTTCATTTTTTATATTTTTTTTTTATATTTTTTTACAGAGTTTTGTTTTCATATCATTTTTTGGTATTTTCATTTTTTATATTTTTTTTTTATATTTTTTTACAGAGCTCTAGATAATAAAAATATCAGATGTTTAAGGTTACAGGTATTAGCAAAGTCATTCTAATTCAGAATATTGCAAAATTTTAATGTTGGTTGATTTTCTCATTGTTGAAGTCCATACAGTAACCTATTTTACATCAACATCATTTGGTCTCTGTAGGATAGTAATGTCTCACATCTCTTCTTTTCATAACAAATCAATTTGTAGGTTCTATAAAGTGGGCCGATGATGAAGGTAAGGGAAATTTTGACTGCCAACTGAGAGGAGGATATGTTGGCCAGAAATTAAGCCTTGCAACAGGCCACCTACTGACCCCTCAAAGACTTGTGGCAAGGGTTCTTTAACATGCAGAGTGGCACTGTCCCTACACATAGGAACTATATACTTTTTAAATTGCCATTCCAATTTTTTGTTTGTTTTAAAAATGATAATTTTAGAAGACTTTAAGGCGGGGGTCATAAAAAATATTACAATAATCCCACCTTTTACACCACCCTCAATGTTTATTATCTAGAACTCTCTTTACAAACAGTTTTGTTTTCATATCATTTTTTGGTATTTTCATTTTTTATATTTTTTTTTTATATTTTTTTACAGAGCTCTAGATAATAAAAATATCAGATGTTTAAGGTTACAGGTATTAACAAAGTCGTTCTAATTCAGAATATTGCAAAATTTTAATGTTAGTTCATTTTCTCAATTTGTTGAAGTCCATACAGTAACCTATTTTACATCAACATCATTTGGTCTCTGTAGGATAGTTGTCTCACATCTCTTCATTTCATAACAAATCAATTTGTAGGTTCTATAAAGTGGGCCAATGACGAAGGTAAGGGAAATTTTGACTGCCAACTGAGAGGAGGATATGTTGGCCAGAAATTAAGCCTTGCAACAGGCCACCTACTGACCCCTCAAAGACTTGTGGCAAGGGTTCTTTAACATGCAGAGTGGCACTGTCCCTACACATAGGAACTATATACTTTTTAAATTGCCATTCCAATTTTTTTTGTTTGTTTTAAAAATGATAACTTTAGAAGACTTTAAGGCGGGGGTCATAAAAAATATTACAATAATCCCACCTTTTACACCACCCTCAATGTTTATTATCTAGAACTCTGTTAACAAACAGTTTTGTTTTCATATCATTATTTTGTATTTTCATTTTTTATATTTTTTTTTTTATATTTTTTTACAGAGCTCTGGATAATAAAAATATCAGATGTTTAAGGTTACAGGTATTAACAAAGTCATTCTAATTCAGAATATTGCAAAATTTTAATGTTGGTTGATTTTCTCATTGTTGAAGTCCATACAGTAACCTATTTTACATCAACATCATTTGGTCTCTGTATGTAGGATAGTAATGTCTCACATCTCTTCTTTTCATAACAAATCAATTTGTAGGTTCTATAAAGTGGGCCGATGATGAAAGTAAGGGAAATTTTGACTGCCAACTGAGAGGAGGATATGTTGGCCCGAAATTAAGCCTTGCAACAGGCCACCTACTGACCCCTCAAAGACTTGTGGCAAGGGTTCTTTAACATGCAGAGTGGCACTGTCCCTACACATAGGAACTATATACTTTTTAAATTGCCATTCCAATTTTTTGTTTGTTTTAAAATTCATAATTTTAGAAAACTTTAAGGCGGGGTCATAAAAAATATTACAATAATCCCACCTTTTACACCACCCTCAATGTTTATTATCTAGAACTCTCTTTACAAACAGTTTTGTTTTCATATCATTTTTTGGTATTTTCATTTTTTATATATTTTTTTTTTATATTTTTTTACAGAGTTTTGTTTTCATATCATTTTTTGGTATTTTCATTTTTTATATTTTTTTTTTATATTTTTTTACAGAGCTCTAGATAATAAAAATATCAGATGTTTAAGGTTACAGGTATTAGCAAAGTCATTCTAATTCAGAATATTGCAAAATTTTAATGTTGGTTGATTTTTTCATTGTTGACGTCCATACAGTAACCTATTTTACATCAACATCATTTGGTCTCTGTAGGATAGTAATGTCTCACATCTCTTCTTTTCATAACAAATCAATTTGTAGGTTCTATAAAGTGGGCCGATGATGAAGGTAAGGGAAATTTTGACTGCCAACTGAGAGGAGGATATGTTGGCCAGAAATTAAGCCTTGCAACAGGCCACCTACTGACCCCTCAAAGACTTGTGGCAAGGGTTCTTTAACATGCAGAGTGGCACTGTCCCTACACATAGGAACTATATACTTTTTAAATTGCCATTCCAATTTTTTGTTTGTTTTAAAAATGATAATTTTAGAAAACTTTAAGGCGGGGTCATAAAAAATATTACAATAATCCCACCTTTTACACCACCCTCAATGTTTATTATCTAGAACTCTCTTTACAAACAGTTTTGTTTTCATATCATTTTTTGGTATTTTCATTTTTTATATTTTTTTTTTATATTTTTTTACAGAGCTCTAGATAATAAAAATATCAGATGTTTAAGGTTACAGGTATTAACAAAGTCGTTCTAATTCAGAATATTGCAAAATTTTAATGTTAGTTCATTTTCTCAATTTGTTGAAGTCCATACAGTAACCTATTTTACATCAACATCATTTGGTCTCTGTAGGATAGTTGTCTCACATCTCTTCATTTCATAACAAATCAATTTGTAGGTTCTATAAAGTGGGCCAATGACGAAGGTAAGGGAAATTTTGACTGCCAACTGAGAGGAGGATATGTTGGCCAGAAATTAAGCCTTGCAACAGGCCACCTACTGACCCCTCAAAGACTTGTGGCAAGGTTTCTTTAACATGCAGAGTGGCACTGTCCCTACACATAGGAAATATATACTTTTTAAATTGCCATTCCAATTTTTTTTGTTTGTTTTAAAAATGATAACTTTAGAAGACTTTAAGGCCGGGGTCATAAAAAATATTACAATAATCCCACCTTTTACACCACCCTCAATGTTTATTATCTAGAACTCTGTTAACAAACAGTTTTGTTTTCATATCATTATTTTGTATTTTCATTTTTTATATTTTTTTTTTTATATTTTTTTACAGAGCTCTGGATAATAAAAATATCAGATGTTTAAGGTTACAGGTATTAACAAAGTCATTCTAATTCAGAATATTGCAAAATTTTAATGTTGGTTGATTTTCTCATTGTTGAAGTCCATACAGTAACCTATTTTACATCAACATCATTTGGTCTCTGTATGTAGGATAGTAATGTCTCACATCTCTTCTTTTCATAACAAATCAATTTGTAGGTTCTATAAAGTGGGCCGATGATGAAAGTAAGGGAAATTTTGACTGCCAACTGAGAGGAGGATATGTTGGCCCGAAATTAAGCCTTGCAACAGGCCACCTACTGACCCCTCAAAGACTTGTGGCAAGGGTTCTTTAACATGCAGAGTGGCACTGTCCCTACACATAGGAACTATATACTTTTTAAATTGCCATTCCAATTTTTTGTTTGTTTTAAAATTCATAATTTTAGAAAACTTTAAGGCGGGGTCATAAAAAATATTACAATAATCCCACCTTTTACACCACCCTCAATGTTTATTATCTAGAACTCTCTTTACAAACAGTTTTGTTTTCATATCATTTTTTGGTATTTTCATTTTTTATATATTTTTTTTTTATATTTTTTTACAGAGTTTTGTTTTCATATCATTTTTTGGTATTTTCATTTTTTATATTTTTTTTTTATATTTTTTTACAGAGCTCTAGATAATAAAAATATCAGATGTTTAAGGTTACAGGTATTAGCAAAGTCATTCTAATTCAGAATATTGCAAAATTTTAATGTTGGTTGATTTTCTCATTGTTGACGTCCATACAGTAACCTATTTTACATCAACATCATTTGGTCTCTGTAGGATAGTAATGTCTCACATCTCTTCTTTTCATAACAAATCAATTTGTAGGTTCTATAAAGTGGGCCGATGATGAAGGTAAGGGAAATTTTGACTCCCAACTGAGAAGACGATATGTTGGGCAGAAATTAAGCCTTGCAACAGGCCACCTACTGACCCCTCAAAGACTTGTGGCAAGGGTTCTTTAACATGCAGAGTGGCACTGTCCCTACACATAGGAACTATATACTTTTTAAATTGCCATTCCAATTTTTTTTTTTTTTTTAAAAATGATAACTTTAGAAGACTTTAAGGCGGGGGTCATAAAAAATATTACAATAATCCCACCTTTTATACCACCCTCAATGTTTATTATCTAGAACTCTGTTAACAAACAGTTTTGTTTTCATATCATTATTTTGTATTTTCATTTTTTATATTTTTTTTTTATATTTTTTTACAGAGCTCTGGATAATAAAAATATCAGATGTTTAAGGTTACAGGTATTAACAAAGTCATTCTAATTCAGAATATTGCAAAATTTTAATGTTGGTTGATTTTCTCATTGTTGAAGTCCATACAGTAACCTATTTTACATCAACATCATTTGGTCTCTGTATGTAGGATAGTAATGTCTCACATCTCTTCTTTTCATAACAAATCAATTTGTAGGTTCTATAAAGTGGGCCGATGATGAAGGTAAGGGAAATTTTGACTGCCAACTGAGAGGAGGATATGTTGGCCCGAAATTAAGCCTTGCAACAGGCCACCTACTGACCCCTTAAAGACTTGTGGCAAGGGTTTTTTAACATGCAGAGTGGCACTGTCCCTACACATAGGAACTATATACTTTTTAAATTGCCATTCCAATTTTTTGTTTGTTTTAAAATTCATAATTTTAGAAAACTTTAAGGCGGGGTCATAAAAAATATTACAATAATCCCACCTTTTACACCACCCTCAATGTTTATTATCTAGAACTCTCTTTACAAACAGTTTTGTTTTCATATCATTTTTTGGTATTTTCATTTTTTATATATTTTTTTTTTATATTTTTTTACAGAGTTTTGTTTTCATATCATTTTTTGGTATTTTCATTTTTTATATTTTTTTTTTATATTTTTTTACAGAGCTCTAGATAATAAAAATATCAGATGTTTAAGGTTACAGGTATTAGCAAAGTCATTCTAATTCAGAATATTGCAAAATTTTAATGTTGGTTGATTTTCTCATTGTTGAAGTCCATACAGTAACCTATTTTACATCAACATCATTTGGTCTCTGTAGGATAGTAATGTCTCACATCTCTTCTTTTCATAACAAATCAATTTGTAGGTTCTATAAAGTGGGCCGATGATGAAGGTAAGGGAAATTTTGACTCCCAACTGAGAAGACGATATGTTGGGCAGAAATTAAGCCTTGCAACAGGCCACCTACTGACCCCTCAAAGACTTGTGGCAAGGGTTCTTTAACATGCAGAGTGGCACTGTCCCTACACATAGAAACTATACTTTCTAAATTACCATTCCAATTTTTGTTTGTTTTAAACATGATAACTTTAGAAGACTTTAATTGATTGTTGTTGCTTGGTTGCTTAACATCCAGTGGCAAATATTTCATACATATTCAGGACAAGAACAAGTTAACAATAAGTACAATAGGTAGGTTCCGTGATAGGGGCTTCCTGGATTAAGGTGAGAGAAATTTAGACTGCCACGGGAAATGAAGTTATATTGGATAGGGACAGAAATTTAGATTTGCAACAGGTCACCTACGGACCCCTCAAAGAGTTGTTGCAAGGGTTCTTAACGTGCAAAGAGCGAGGCACTCTCTTTACATGAGGCATAGGATTTAAAGTCCTCATTCTTACCGGACGTGGCTGTAAATTTGAAAATCCCGCACAGCCAAACGGACGCCCCACTTTAGCAAGGGTTTTACTGCCGGTCGGAGGAAGACCAATGGTGACCATACTTCTATTCCCCAGTCACCCTTGGGGGTTAGAAGACTTTAAGGCGGGGGTCATAAAAAATATTACAATAATCCCACCTTTTACACCACCCTCAATGTTTATTATCTAGAACTCTGTTTACAAACAGTTTTGTTTTCATATCATTTTTTGGTATTTTCATTTTTTATATTTTTTTTTTATATTTTTTTACAGAGCTCTAGATAATAAAAATATCAGATGTTTAAGGTTACAGGTATTAACAAAGTCATTCTAATTCAGAATATTGCAAAATTTTAATGTTGGTTGATTTTCTCATTGTTGAAGTCCATACAGTAACCTATTTTACATCAACATCATTTGGTCTCTGTAGGATAGTAATGTCTCACATCTCTTCTTTTCATAACAAATCAATTTGTAGGTTCCATAAAGTGGGCCGATGATGAAGGTAAGGGAAATTTTGACTCCCAACTGAGAGGACGATATGTTGGGCAGAAATTAAGCCTTGCAACAGGCCACCTACTGACCCCTCAAAGACTTGTGGCAAGGGTTCTTTAACATGCAGAGTGGCACTGTCCCTACACATAGAAACTATACTTTCTAAATTGCCATTCCAATTTTTGTTTGTTTTAAACATGATAACTTTAGAAGACTTTGATTGTTGTTGCTTGTTGGTTGCTTAACATCCAGTGGCAAATATTTCATACATATTCAGGACAAGAACAAGTTAACAATAAGTACAATAGGTAGGTTCCGTGATAGGGGCTTCCTGGATTAAGGTGAGAGAAATTTAGACTGCCACGGGAAATGAAGTTATATTGGATAGGGACAGAAATTTAGATTTGCAACAGGTCACCTACGGACCCCTCAAAGAGTTGTTGCAAGGGTTCTTAACGTGCAAAGAGCGAGGCACTCTCTTTACATGAGGCATAGGATTTAAAGTCCTCATTCTTACCGGATGTGGCTGTAAATTTGAATATCCCGCACAGCCAAACGGACGCCCCACTTTAGCAAGGGTTTTACTGCCGGTCGGAGGAAGACCAATGGTGACCATACTTCTATTCCCCAGTCACCCTTGGGGGTTAGAAGACTTTAAGGCGGGGGTCATAAAAAATATTACAATAATCCCACCTTTTACACCACCCTCAATGTTTATTATCTAGAACTCTGTTTACAAACAGTTTTGTTTTCATATCATTTTTTGGTATTTTCATTTTTTATATTTTTTTTTTATATTTTTTACAGAGCTCTAGATAATAAAAATATCAGATGTTTAAGGTTACAGGTATTAACAAAGTCATTCTAATTCAGAATATTGCAAAATTTTAATGTTGGTTGATTTTCTCATTGTTGAAGTCCATACAGTAACCTATTTTACATCAACATCATTTGGTCTCTGTAGGATAGTAATGTCTCACATCTCTTCTTTTCATAACAAATCAATTTGTAGGTTCTATAAAGTGGGCCGATGATGAAGGTAAGGGAAATTGTGACTCCCAACTGAGAGGACGATATGTTGGGCAGAAATTAAGCCTTGCAACAGGCCACCTACTGACCCCTCAAAGACTTGTGGCAAGGGTTCTTTAACATGCAGAGTGGCACTGTCCCTACACATAGAAACTATACTTTCTAAATTGCCATTCCAATTTTTGTTTGTTTTAAACATGATAACTTTAGAAGATTTTAATTGATTGTTGTTGATTGTTGGTTGCTTAACATCCAGTGGCAAATATTTCATACATATTCAGGACAAGAACAAGTTAACAATAAGTACAATAGGTAGGTTCCGTAATAGGGGCTTCCTGGATTAAGGTCAGAGAAATTAAGACTGCCACGGGAAATGAAGTTATATTGGATAGGGACAGAAATTTAGATTTGCAACAGGTCACCTACGGACCCCTCAAAGAGTTGTTGCAAGGGTTCTTAACGTGCAAAGAGCGAGGCACTCTCTTTACATGAGGCATAGGATTTAAAGTCCTCATTCTTACCAGACGTGGCTGTAAATTTGAATATCCCGCACAGCCAAACGGACGCCCCACTTTAGCAAGGGTTTTACTGCCGGTCGGAGGAAGACCAATGGTGACCATACTTCTATTCCCCAGTCACCCTTGGGGGTTAGAAGACTTAAAGGCGGGGGTCATAAAAAAATATTACAATAATCCCACCTTTTACACCACCCTCAATGTTTATTATCTAGAACTCTGTTTACAAACAGTTTTGTTTTCATATCATTTTTTGGTATTTTCATTTTTTATATTTTTTTTTTATATTTTTTTAGAGTTTTGTTTTCATATCATTTTTTGGTATTTTCATTTTTTATATATTTTTTTTATATTTTTTTACAGAGCTCTAGATAATAAAAATATCAGATGTTTAAGGTTACAGGTATTAACAAAGTCATTCTAATTCAGAATATTGCAAAATTTTAATTTTAGTTGATTTTCTCAATTTGTTGAAGTCCATACAGTAACCTATTTTACATCAACATCATTTGGTCTCTGTAGGACAGTAATGTCTCACATCTCTTCTTTTCATAACAAATCAATTTGTAGGTTCTATAAAGTGGGCCGATGATGAAGGTAAGGGAAATTTTGACTCCCAACTGAGAGGACGATATGTTGGCCAGAAATTAAGCCTTGCAACAGGCCACCTACTGACCCCTCAAAGACTTGTGGCAAGGGTTCTTTAACATGCAGAGTGGCACTGTCCCTACACATAGGAACTATATACTTTTTAAATTGCCATTCCAATTTTTTGTTTGTTTTAAAAATGATAATTTTAGAAGACTTTAAGGCGGGTCATAAAAAATATTACAATAATCCCACCTTTTACACCACCCTCAATGTTTATTATCTAGAACTCTCTTTACAAACAGTTTTGTTTTCATATCATTTTTTGGTATTTTCATTTTTTATATTTTTTTTTTATATTTTTTTACAGAGCTCTAGATAATAAAAATATCAGATGTTTAAGGTTACAGGTATTAACAAAGTCGTTCTAATTCAGAATATTGCAAAATTTTAATGTTAGTTGATTTTCTCAATTTGTTGAAGTCCATACAGTAACCTATTTTACATCAACATCATTTGGTCTCTGTAGGATAGTTGTCTGGCATCTCTTCATTTCATAACAAATCAATTTGTAGGTTCTATAAAGTGGGCCGATGACGAAGGTAAGGGAAATTTTGACTGCCAACTGAGAGGAGGATATGTTGGCCAGAAATTAAGCCTTGCAACAGGCCACCTACTGACCCCTCAAAGACTTGTGGCAAGGGTTCTTTAACATGCAGAGTGGCACTGTCCCTACACATAGAAACTATACTTTCTAAATTGCCATTCCAATTTTTGTTTGTTTTAAACATGATAACTTTAGAAGACTTTAATTGATTGTTGTTGATTGTTGGTTGCTTAACATCCAGTGGCAAATATTTCATACATATTCAGGACAAGAACAAGTTAACAATAAGTACAATAGGTAGGTTCCGTAATAGGGGCTTCCTGGATTAAGGTCAGAGAAATTTAGACTGCCACGGGAAATGAAGTTATATTGGATAGGGACAGAAATTTAGATTTGCAACAGGTCACCTACGGACCCCTCAAAGAGTTGTTGCAAGGGTTCTTAACGTGCAAAGAGCGAGGCACTCTCTTTACATGAGGCATAGGATTAAAAGTCCTCATTCTTACCAGACGTGGCTGTAAATTTGAATATCCCGCACAGCCAAACGGACGCCCCACTTTAGCAAGGGTTTTACTGCCGGTCGGAGGAAGACCAATGGTGACCATACTTCTATTCCCCAGTCACCTTTGGGGGTTAGAAGACTTTAAGGCGGGGGTCATAAAAAATATTACAATAATCCCACCTTTTACACCACCCTCAATGTTTATTATCTAGAACTCTGTTTACAAATGATTTTGTTTTCATATATTATTTTTTGGTATTTTCAATTTTTATATATTTTTTTTTTATATTTTTTTACAGAGCTCTAGATAATAAAAATATCAGATGTTAAAGGTTAGAGGCAAAGTCATTCTAATTCAGAATATTGCAAAGTTTTAATGTTAGTGGATTTTCTCATTGTTGAAGTTCATACAGTAACGTGCAACTTCATTTGGTCTCTGTAGGATAGTTGTCTCACATCTCTTCATTTCATTACAAATCAATTTGTAGGTTCTATAAAGTGGGCCGATGATGAAGGTAAGGGAAATTTTGACTGCCAACTGAGGGGAGGATATGTTGGACAGAAATTAAGCCTTGCAACAGGCCACCTACTGACCCCTCAAAGACTTGTGGCAGTTGTTCTTTAACGTGCAGAGTGGCACTGTCCCTATACATAGGAACTATATACTTTTTAAATTGCCATTCCAATTTTTGTTTGTTTTAAAAATGATAACTTTAGAAGACTTTAAGGCGGGGGTCATAAAAAATATTACAATAATCCCACCTTTTACACCACCCTCAATGTTTATTATCTAGAACTCTATTTACAAACAATTTTGTTTTCATATATTTTTTGGTATTTTCAATTTTTATATATTTTTTTTATATTTTTTTACAGAGCTCTAGATAATAAAAATATCGGATGTTAAAGGTTACAGGTATGAACAAAGTCATTCCAATTCAAAATATTGCAAAATTTTAATGTTGGTTGATTTTCTCATTGTTGAAGTCCATACAGTAACCTATTTTACATCAACATCATTTGGTCTCTGTAGGATAGTTGTCTGGCATCTCTTCATTTCATAACAAATCAATTTGTAGGTTTTATAAAGTGGGCCGATGACGAAGGTAAGGGAAATTTTGACTGCCAACTGAGAGGAGGATATGTTGGCCAGAAATTAAGCCTTGCAACAGGCCACCTACTGACCCCTCAAAGACTTGTGGCAAGGGTTCTTTAACATGCAGAGTGGCACTGTCCCTACACATAGGAACTATATACTTTTTAAATTGCCATTCCAATTTTTTGTTTGTTTTAAAAATGATAACTTTAGAAGACTTTAAGGCGGGGGTCATAAAAAATATTACAATAATCCCACCTTTTACACCACCCTCAATGTTTATTATCTAGAACTCTCTTTACAAACAGTTTTGTTTTCATATCATTTTTTGGTATTTTCATTTTTTATATATTTTTTTTTATATTTTTTTACAGAGCTCTATATAATAAAAATATCAGATGTTTAAGGTTACAGGTATTAACAAAGTCATTCTAATTCAGAATATTGCAAAATTTTAATGTTGGTTGATTTTCTCATTGTTGAAGTCCATACAGTAACCTATTTTACATCAACATCATTTGGTCTCTGTAGGATAGTAATGTCTCACATCTCTTCTTTTCATAACAAATCAATTTGTAGGTTCTATAAAGTGGGCCGATGATGAAGGTAAGGGAAATTTTGACTCCCAACTGAGAAGACGATATGTTGGGCAGAAATTAAGCCTTGCAACAGGCCACCTACTGACCCCTCAAAGACTTGTGGCAAGGGTTCTTTAACATGCAGAGTGGCACTGTCCCTACACATAGAAACTATACTTTCTAAATTGCCATTCCAATTTTTGTTTGTTTTAAACATGATAACTTTAGAAGACTTTAATTGATTGTTGTTGCTTGTTCGTTGCATAACATCCAGTGGCAAATATTTCATACATATTCAGGACAAGAACAAGTTAACAATAAGTACAATAGGTAGGTTCCGTAATAGGGGCTTCCTGGATTAAGGTCAGAGAAATTTAGACTGCCACGGGAAATGAAGTTATATTGGATAGGGACAGAAATTTAGATTTGCAACAGGTCACCTACGGACCCCTCAAAGAGTTGTTGCAAGGGTTCTTAACGTGCAAAGAGCAAGGCACTCTCTTTACATGAGGCATAGGATTTAAAGTCCTCATTCTTACCGGACGTGGCTGTAAATTTGAATATCCCGCACAGCCAAACGGACGCCCCACTTTAGCAAGGGTTTTACTGCCGGTCGGAGGAAGACCAATGGTGACCATACTTCTATTCCCCAGTCACCCTTGGGGGTTAGAAGACTTTAAGGCGGGGGTCATAAAAAATATTACAATAATCCCACCTTTTACACCACCCTCAATGTTTATTATCTAGAACTCTGTTTACAAACAGTTTTGTTTTCATATCATTTTTTGGTATTTTCATTTTTTATATTTTTTTTTTATATTTTTTTACAGAGTTTTGTTTTCATATCATTTTTTGGTATTTTCATTTTTTATATTTTTTTTTATATTTTTTTACAGAGCTCTATATAATAAAAATATCAGATGTTTAAGGTTACAGGTATTAACAAAGTCATTCTAATTCAGAATATTGCAAAATTTTAATGTTGGTTGATTTTCTCATTGTTGAAGTCCATACAGTAACCTATTTTACATCAACATCATTTGGTCTCTGTAGGATAGTAATGTCTCACATCTCTTCTTTTCATAACAAATCAATTTGTAGGTTCTATAAAGTGGGCCGATGATGAAGGTAAGGGAAATTTTGACTCCCAACTGAGAAGACGATATGTTGGGCAGAAATTAAGCCTTGCAACAGGCCACCTACTGACCCCTCAAAAACTTGTGGCAAGGGTTCTTTAACATGCAGAGTGGCACTGTCCCTACACATAGAAACTATACTTTCTAAATTGCCATTCCAATTTTTGTTTGTTTTAAACATGATAACTTTAGAAGACTTTAATTGATTGTTGTTGCTTAACATCCAGTGGCAAATATTTCATACATATTCAGGACAAGAACAAGTTAACAATAAGTACAATAGGTAGGTTCCGTAATAGGGGCTTCCTGGATTAAGGTCAGAGAAATTTAGACTGCCACGGGAAATGAAGTTATATTGGATAGGGACAGAAATTTAGATTTGCAACAGGTCACCTACGGACCCCTCAAAGAGTTGTTGCAAGGGTTCTTAACGTGCAAAGAGCGAGGCACTCTCTTTACATGAGGCATAGGATTTAAAGTCCTCATTCTTACCGGACGTGGCTGTAAATTTGAATATCCCGCACAGCCAAACGGACGCCCCACTTTAGCAAGGGTTTTACTGCCGGTCGGAGGAAGACCAATGGTGACCATACTTCTATTCCCCAGTCACCCTTGGGGGTTAGAAGACTTTAAGGCGGGGGTCATAAAAAATATTACAATAATCCCACCTTTTACACCACCCTCAATGTTTATTATCTAGAACTCTCTTTACAAACAGTTTTGTTTTCATATCATTTTTTGGTATTTTCATTTTTTATATTTTTTTTTTATATTTTTTTACAGAGTTTTGTTTTCATATCATTTTTTGGTATTTTCATTTTTTATATTTTTTTTTATATTTTTTTACAGAGCTCTAGATAATAAAAATATCAGATGTTTAAGGTTACAGGTATTAACAAAGTCATTCTAATTCAGAATATTGCAAAATTTTAATGTTGGTTGATTTTCTCATTGTTGAAGTCCATACAGTAACCTATTTTACATCAATATCATTTGGTCTCTGTAGGATAGTAATGTCTCACATCTCTTCTTTTCATAACAAATCAATTTGTAGGTTCTATAAAGTGGGCCGATGATGAAGGTAAGGGAAATTTTGACTCCCAACTGAGAAGACGATATGTTGGGCAGAAATTAAGCCTTGCAACAGGCCACCTACTGACCCCTCAAAGACTTGTGGCAAGGGTTCTTTAACATGCAGAGTGGCACTGTCCCTACACATAGAAACTATACTTTCTAAATTGCCATTCCAATTTTTGTTTGTTTTAAACATGATAACTTTAGAAGACTTTAATTGATTGTTGTTGATTGTTGGTTGCTTAACATCCAGTGGCAAATATTTCATACATATTCAGGACAAGAACAAGTTAACAATAAGTACAATAGGTAGGTTCCGTAATAGGGGCTTCCTGGATTAAGGTCAGAGAAATTTAGACTGCCACGGGAAATGAAGTTATATTGGATAGGGACAGAAATTTAGATTTGCAACAGGTCACCTACGGACCCCTCAAAGAGTTGTTGCAAGGGTTCTTAACGTGCAAAGAGCGAGGCACTCTCTTTACATGAGGCATAGGATTTAAAGTCCTCATTCTTACCTGACGTGGCTGTAAATTTGAATATCCCGCACAGCCAAACGGACGCCCCACTTTAGCAAGGGTTTTACTGCCGGTCGGAGGAAGACCAATGGTGACCATACTTCTATTCCCCAGTCACCCTTGGGGGTTAGAAGACTTTAAGGCGGGGGTCATAAAAAATATTACAATAATCCCACCTTTTACACCACCCTCAATGTTTATTATCTAGAACTCTCTTTACAAACAGTTTTGTTTTCATATCATTTTTTGGTATTTTCATTTTTTATATTTTTTTACAGAGCTCTAGATAATAAAAATATCAGATGTTTAAGGTTACAGGTATTAACAAAGTCATTCTAATTCAGAATATTGCAAAATTTTAATGTTGGTTGATTTTCTCATTGTTGAAGTCCATACAGTAACCTATTTTACATCAACATCATTTGGTCTCTGTAGGATAGTAATGTCTCACATCTCTTCTTTTCATAACAAATCAATTTGTAGGTTCTATAAAGTGGGCCGATGATGAAGGTAAGGGAAATTTTGACTCCCAACTGAGAAGACGATATGTTGGGCAGAAATTAAGCCTTGCAACAGGCCACCTACTGACCCCTCAAAGACTTGTGGCAAGGGTTCTTTAACATGCAGAGTGGCACTGTCCCTACACATAGGAACTATATACTTTTTAAATTGCCATTCCAATTTTTTGTTTGTTTTAAAAATGATAACTTTAGAAGACTTTAAGGCGGGGGTCATAAAAAATATTACAATAATCCCACCTTTTACACCACCCTCAATGTTTATTATCTAGAACTCTCTTTACAAACAGTTTTGTTTTCATATCATTTTTTGGTATTTTCATTTTTTATATTTTTTTTTTATATTTTTTTACAGAGCTCTAGATAATAAAAATATCAGATGTTTAAGGTTACAGGTATTAACAAAGTCATTCTAATTCAGAATATTGCAAAATTTTAATGTTGGTTGATTTTCTCATTGTTGAAGTCCATACAGTAACCTATTTTACATCAACATCATTTGGTCTCTGTAGGATAGTAATGTCTCACATCTCTTCTTTTCATAACAAATCAATTTGTAGGTTCTATAAAGTGGGCCGATGATGAAGGTAAGGGAAATTTTGACTCCCAACTGAGAGGACGATATGTTGGGCAGAAATTAAGCCTTGCAACAGGCCACCTACTGACCCCTCAAAGACTTGTGGCAAGGGTTCTTTAACATGCAGAGTGGCACTGTCCCTACACATAGAAACTTATAATACTTTCTAAATTGCCATTCCAATTTTTGTTTGTTTTAAACATGATAACTTTAGAAGACTTTAATTGATTGTTGTTGATTGTTGGTTGCTTAACATCCAGTGGCAAATATTTCATACATATTCAGGACAAGAACAAGTTAACAATAAGTACAATAGGTAGGTTCCGTAATAGGGGCTTCCTGGATTAAGGTCAGAGAAATTTAGACTGCCACGGGAAATGAAGTTATATTTGATAGGGACAGAAATTTAGATTTGCAACAGGTCACCTACGGACCCCTCAAAGAGTTGTTGCAAGGGTTCTTAACGTGCAAAGAGCGAGGCACTCTCTTTACATGAGGCATAGGATTTAAAGTCTTCATTCTTACCGGACGTGGCTGTAAATTTGAATATCCCGCACAGCCAAACGGACGCCCCACTTTAGCAAGGGTTTTACTGCCTGTCGGAGGAAGACCAATGGTGACCATACTTCTATTCCCCAGTCACCCTTGGGGGTTAGAAGACTTTAAGGCGGGGGTCATAAAAAATATTACAATAATCCCACCTTTTACACCACCCTCAATGTTTATTATCTAGAACTCTCTTTACAAACAGTTTTGTTTTCATATCATTTTTTGGTATTTTCATTTTTTATATTTTTTTTTTATATTTTTTTACAGAGCTCTAGATAATAAAAATATCAGATGTTTAAGGTTACAGGTATTAACAAAGTCATTCTAATTCAGAATATTGCAAAATTTTAATGTTGGTTGATTTTCTCATTGTTGAAGTCCATACAGTAACCTATTTTACATCAACATCATTTGGTCTCTGTAGGATAGTAATGTCTCACATCTCTTCTTTTCATAACAAATCAATTTGTAGGTTCTATAAAGTGGGCCGATGATGAAGGTAAGGGAAATTTTGACTCCCAACTGAGAGGACGATATGTTGGGCAGAAATGAAGCCTTGCAACAGGCCACCTACTGACCCCTCAAAGACTTGTGGCAAGGGTTCTTTAACATGCAGAGTGGCACTGTCCCTACACATAGAAACTATACTTTCTAAATTGCCATTCCAATTTTTGTTTGTTTTAAACATGATAACTTTAGAAGACTTTAATTGATTGTTGTTGATTGTTGGTTGCTTAACATCCAGTGGCAAATATTTCATACATATTCAGGACAAGAACAAGTTAACAATAAGTACAATAGGTAGGTTCCGTGATAGGGGCTTCCTGGATTAAGGTCAGAGAAATTTAGACTGCCACGGGAAATGAAGTTATATTGGATAGGGACAGAAATTTAGATTTGCAACAGGTCACCTACGGACCCCTCAAAGAGTTGTTGCAAGGGTTCTTAACGTGCAAAGAGCGAGGCACTCTCTTTACATGAGGCATAGGATTTAAAGTCCTCATTCTTACCGGATGTGGCTGTAAATTTGAATATTCGCACAGCCAAACGGATGCCCCACTTTAGCAAGGGTTTTACTGCCGGTCGGAGGAAGACCAATGGTGACCATACTTCTATTCCCCAGTCACCCTTGGGGGTTAGAAGACTTTAAGGCAGGGGTCATAAAAAATATTACAATAATCCCACCTTTTACACCACCCTCAATGTTTATTATCTAGAACTCTGTTTACAAACAGTTTTGTTTTCATATCATTTTTTGGTATTTTCATTTTTTATATTTTTTTTTTATATTTTTTTACAGAGCTCTAGATAATAAAAATATCAGATGTTTAAGGTTACAGGTATTAACAAAGTCATTCTAATTCAGAATATTGCAAAATTTTAATGTTGGTTGATTTTCTCATTGTTGAAGTCCATACAGTAACCTATTTTACATCAACATCATTTGGTCTCTGTAGGATAGTAATGTCTCACATCTCTTCTTTTCATAACAAATCAATTTGTAGGTTCTATAAAGTGGGCCGATGATGAAGGTAAAGGAAATTTTGACTCCCAACTGAGAGGACGATATGTTGTGCAGAAATTAAGCCTTGCAACAGGCCACCTACTGACCCCTCAAAGACTTGTGGCAAGGGTTCTTTAACATGCAGAGTGGCACTGTCCCTACACATAGAAACTATACTTTCTAAATTGCCATTCCAATTTTTGTTTGTTTTAAACATGATAACTTTAGAAGACTTTAATTGATTGTTGTTGATTGTTGGTTGCTTAACATCCAGTGGCAAATATTTCATACATATTCAGGACAAGAACAAGTTAACAATAAGTACAATAGGTAGGTTCCGTAATAGGGGCTTCCTGGATTAAGGTCAGAGAAATTTAGACTGCCACGGGAAATGAAGTTATATTTGATAGGGACAGAAATTTAGATTTGCAACAGGTCACCTACAGACCCCTCAAAGAGTTGTTGCAAGGGTTCTTAACGTGCAAAGAGCGAGGCACTCTCTTTACATGAGGCATAGGATTTAAAGTCTTCATTCTTACCGGACGTGGCTGTAAATTTGAATATCCCGCACAGCCAAACGGACGCCCCACTTTAGCAAGGGTTTTACTGCCGGTCGGAGGAAGACCAATGGTGACCATACTTCTATTCCCCAGTCACCCTTGGGGGTTAGAAGACTTTAAGGCGGGGGTCATAAAAAATATTACAACAATCCCACCTTTTACACCACCCTCAATGTTTATTATCTAGAACTCTCTTTACAAACAGTTTTGTTTTCATATCATTTTTTGGTATTTTCATTTTTTATATTTTTTTTTTATATTTTTTTACAGAGTTTTGTTTTCATATCATTTTTTGGTATTTTCATTTTTTATATATTTTTTTTATATTTTTTTACAGAGCTCTAGATAATAAAAATATCAGATGTTTAAGGTTACAGGTATTAACAAAGTCATTCTAATTCAGAATACAGTGTATTGCAAAATTTTAATTTTAGTTGATTTTCTCAATTTGTTGAAGTCCATACAGTAACCTATTTTACATCAACTTCATTTGGTCTCTGTAGGATAGTTGTCTCACATCTCTTCTTTTCATAACAAATCAATTTGTAGGTTCTATAAAGTGGGCCGATGATGAAGGTAAGGGAAATTTTGACTCCCAACTGAGAGGACGATATGTTGGGCAGAAATTAAGCCTTGCAACAGGCCACCTACTGACCCCTCAAAGACTTGTGGCAAGGGTTCTTTAACATGCAGAGTGGCACTGTCCCTACACATAGGAACTATACTTTCTAAATTGCCATTCCAATTTTTGTTTGTTTTAAACATGATTACTTTAGAAGACTTTAAAGCGGTTGTCATAAAAAATATTACAATAATCCCACCTTTTACACCACCCTCAATGTTTATTATCTAGAACTCTGTTTACAAACAGTTTTGTTTTCATATCATTTTTTGGTATTTTCATTTTTTATATTTTTTTTTTATATTTTTTTACAGAGCTCTAGATAATAAAAATATCAGATGTTTAAGGTTACAGGTATTAACAAAGTCATTCTAATTCAGAATATTGCAAAATTTTAATGTTAGTTGATTTTCTCAATTTGTTGAAGTCCATACAGTAACCTATTTTACATCAACATCATTTGGTCTCTGTAGGATAGTAATGTCTCACATCTCTTCTTTTCATAACAAATCAATTTGTAGGTTCTATAAAGTGGGCCGATGATGAAGGTAAGGGAAATTTTGACTCCCAACTGAGAGGACGATATGTTGTGCAGAAATTAAGCCTTGCAACAGGCCACCTACTGACCCCTCAAAGACTTGTGGCAAGGGTTCTTTAACATGCAGAGTGGCACTGTCCCTACACATAGAAACTATACTTTCTAAATTGCCATTCCAATTTTTGTTTGTTTTAAACATGATAACTTTAGAAGACTTTAATTGATTGTTGTTGATTGTTGGTTGCTTAACATCCAGTGGCAAATATTTCATACATATTCAGGACAAGAACAAGTTAACAATAAGTACAATAGGTAGGTTCCGTAATAGGGGCTTCCTGGATTAAGGTCAGAGAAATTTAGACTGCCACGGGAAATGAAGTTATATTTGATAGGGACAGAAATTTAGATTTGCAACAGGTCACCTACGGACCCCTCAAAGAGTTGTTGCAAGGGTTCTTAACGTGCAAAGAGCGAGGCACTCTCTTTACATGAGGCATAGGATTTAAAGTCTTCATTCTTACCGGACGTGGCTGTAAATTTGAATATCCCGCACAGCCAAACGGACGCCCCACTTTAGCAAGGGTTTTACTGCCGGTCGGAGGAAGACCAATGGTGACCATACTTCTATTCCCCAGTCACCCTTGGGGGTTAGAAGACTTTAAGGCGGGGGTCATAAAAAATATTACAACAATCCCACCTTTTACACCACCCTCAATGTTTATTATCTAGAACTCTCTTTACAAACAGTTTTGTTTTCATATCATTTTTTGGTATTTTCATTTTTTATATTTTTTTTTTATATTTTTTTACAGAGTTTTGTTTTCATATCATTTTTTGGTATTTTCATTTTTTATATATTTTTTTTATATTTTTTTACAGAGCTCTAGATAATAAAAATATCAGATGTTTAAGGTTACAGGTATTAACAAAGTCATTCTAATTCAGAATACAGTGTATTGCAAAATTTTAATTTTAGTTGATTTTCTCAATTTGTTGAAGTCCATACAGTAACCTATTTTACATCAACTTCATTTGGTCTCTGTAGGATAGTTGTCTCACATCTCTTCTTTTCATAACAAATCAATTTGTAGGTTCTATAAAGTGGGCCGATGATGAAGGTAAGGGAAATTTTGACTCCCAACTGAGAGGACGATATGTTGGGCAGAAATTAAGCCTTGCAACAGGCCACCTACTGACCCCTCAAAGACTTGTGGCAAGGGTTCTTTAACATGCAGAGTGGCACTGTCCCTACACATAGGAACTATACTTTCTAAATTGCCATTCCAATTTTTGTTTGTTTTAAACATGATTACTTTAGAAGACTTTAAAGCGGTTGTCATAAAAAATATTACAATAATCCCACCTTTTACACCACCCTCAATGTTTATTATCTAGAACTCTGTTTACAAACAGTTTTGTTTTCATATCATTTTTTGGTATTTTCATTTTTTATATTTTTTTTTTATATTTTTTTACAGAGCTCTAGATAATAAAAATATCAGATGTTTAAGGTTACAGGTATTAACAAAGTCATTCTAATTCAGAATATTGCAAAATTTTAATGTTAGTTGATTTTCTCAATTTGTTGAAGTCCATACAGTAACCTATTTTACATCAACATCATTTGGTCTCTGTAGGATAGTAATGTCTCACATCTCTTCATTTCATAACAAATCAATTTGTAGGTTCTATAAAGTGGGCCGATGACAAAGGTAAGGGAAATTTTGACTGCCAACTGAGAGGAGGATATGTTGGCCAGAAATTAAGCCTTGCAACAGGCCACCTACTGACCCCTCAAAGACTTGTGGCAAGGGTTCTTTAACGTGCAGAGTGGCACTGTCCCTACACATAGGAACTATTCCGTAGTGCATAGTTCTGAATCTCTGTCAAGGTTTTTCTATATTTTTGGTTTAAAGTCCTTAAATGATCGTATTGGGTTCTTGACTTTCCAATACTTTAGCCTCAAAAATCACTGTCTGGAGAGATTTTGTTGAAATAATTTCAAAATGAATTTCTCAAATGTTTTCTGATCATTTTTGGTTAAAAAATATTCACATTTCCTTAAATAACAGTTTTGTTGACTGAGTGCTCACGTCAATAGATATAAACAATTCACCAAAGTTTCATGCAAATTGGTGAAAGTGTTTTTGAATTAATGTCGAAGACGGAGGGACAGACAGACAGACAGACAGATGGACGGACAGACGGACAGACTGTCAACGGTATACTATAATACGTCCCTTAAACGGACGTATAAAAAGTCAAAAAGAAACAATGAACAATGCCTTGATTCCCAAAAAAAGTAAAACATTTGTATAAATTTTAGACTAGATACCATCAAATTAAATCTTGAGAATATGGCCTCTGAAGTCTGCAGATGTTTATATCAAATGATGTACACATTAATTTAAAAAAAAAAGTCTGCAGATGATCATATCACATGATGTACTCATAAATACAGACAAAAACATGCAATGGTATAGTACCATTTGAATTAGTCGGTTTGATTTCATGTCAAAGATTAAAAATTTCATAAGGAGTTGTGTGGAACCTAATGTATTGCCTGCTATAGCTGCTGTCAGTGTAATATAGAATTTAAAAATAGAGAGTCTATTTATCAGTAAAATACAGAAATTAAAAAAAGATCAAACTTTTGTCTTAGATGCTTATAAATAATTTACAAACTTATATTTATATTTGTATCTATCATACACCATTATAAGGATTTAATATTTGAATAATTTTTTTATTTCTAGAATTTTGGTTAATCATGTATAAATCATACAAAGAAATGAACATGCACAAGAAGGTCATGGTTTTCTCCAACTGTTAATGATGTCTTTACACTAAATCCATTGGTGTGGATGTGTACTGATTGATATTTTAGTCTTAGATGCATAATTTTTTTATTAGTTGTTATTGTCTTTGAACTAACTGTCAGCAACTACTTAAAGCTTGTACTCTTATCAGATCTGTACACGGTAGTGTTTTTTTGTTGTTGCGAGAATGTACAAGTACCCTTCTCCTTCCGGTCAGTTTTGTGTATTAATAATGTTAGATGTATTTCTGCTTTGTATCAATCTGATGAGTTATTAGCCATCTTCAACTGATTTTAATAGTTTGTTATGTTGTACTGTTTCACAACTGTCTCAGGTAAGGGGAGGGAGGGTACTGGAACCTTAAAACTAGTTTAACCCCTAACCCCTTGTTCTGTATATGGCTGTCCCACATCAGGAGCCAGAAATTCAGCAATTGTCATTTGTCCATGCTATATATCATGTTTGTTTTTCGTTCATTATTTTGCTTTCTCGTTTTAATTGTTTTATAGCTGTAATTTCAGGGCCTTTCATAGCCGACTATGCTCATTGTTGAAAAATTTCACATTTACAAAGGTAAAAGTGACGACAACCAAATTTAAACTTGATCTACGTTTTGTAGTAAATTAATCGTTGTGTACACATTTTATAACATAAGGTCCAGTCAAGCTAAAGTTAGGAGAATGGAGACCAATTTTGGAATGAATGTACAGCGGGTGAATAAATAATATCTAAAATAATCCCACTTTTTTCACCACCCTCCATGTTTATTAGCTAAAAATCTGTTAACAATTTTGTTTTCATTTAATTTTTGGTATTTATTTTTTTAAATTTTTTTTCATATTTTTTTTTTTAACAGAGCTCTAGATAATAAAAAGATCAAATGTCAAAAGTAAAGGGAGGGTTGGTGCTTTTGCTCATTATTGAAGGTCGTACGGTAACTTATAGTTGTTAATTGCTATGTCATTTTTGTCTTTTCTATGCATGTTCCATTAGTGTTTATTTTTGTTGCACTTCAGTGTTTCTGTTGTTTTCCTCTTGTAGTTGATATGTTTCCCTCAGTATTGGTTTTGTTACCCAGATTTGTTAATTTTTCTCTCAATCGATTTATGACTTCTGAACAGCAGTATACTGTTATCTTTATTCATTTTGGTCTCTTGTGGAGAGTTGTCTCATTGGCAATCATACCACATGTTCTTGTAATTATGTTTACAACTTTTATCATTAAGAACCCTTGGTTCAGTGATATCCTTTAAAAACAGCAAACATTTTATTAAGGAAAAATGTCCTACAGCACATGCAAAGAGTGGAATAATCAACATGGTGATACAAAATCCATATATACAAGTATACCTGGATTCATGCTACATAGTAATAGACGGTTCACAATCAGAAAAAAGAAGTCTCCTTTGTTGTAATTTTTTATAGTTCCCAACTGACCTCACCAACAACCCCCAGGCTAAGGTCAAGCTATGAGCCAGTTCCTGTATCGGATGCTCCTTATAACTAGCTATGTAGGAATTACAGAAGGATCGAATCAATAATGTCAACAAACTTTGAAAAAAGAAATGCCTAAATTGGGAAATAAAAGTGAAG